GAGGAAGAGGGATTTGAGCTGGTCTGCTGGGCCCTAAGGACAGAAGTGTGAACGAACCCATTAGAGCTAACTAAAAGGGATATAAATTGGGGGAAGGGGGAAGAGAGGCTGCCCCTCCCTAGAGGTGTCCAACTAAGGCCAGGCCAGAGGGCCATTTCTCAGCATTGCCTTGGCAAGGATTCTCATTTGGGTTTGGATTGCATGTGGCATCTTCTACCTCTGACGTTCTGTGGTTCTGAGTGAATCTGGGCATGAGGAGAGTGAACCAGCTCTGCCTGAGCTTGTTGGAAGCCAACAATGGGTCCCAGCCCAAGCCTCCCTTGGTCACTGTTTGGATTTCTGATGCCTTAGAGTGTAACTAGCAACTGTTTCTGTTCTAGAGAGAAATCAGGAGGGTTTTCCCCTCCCAGATTTTTTTTTTTACTAAGTAAAAGAAGTCATTCTTTGCCTTACTTCTTACCTAGCCTTAATCACTGAATGGGTATTGCATCAGTCAAACAGACCTGGGAAAGACCTTAGCTTACAAAGGCCAAGGTCTCCCGCTGCATCCAGGGCCATCTCCAGTCATCCAGATCTATGTCTTGCCACTGGACGCAGATGGTTCTCAACGAAAAACTGAGCCTAGTGACTTTGCACAGCCCTCCCTCACTTCAATCCAATTCACTTGCAAGTTATGGCATCACCTTCCTAATGTCATGATCCTTTTGAAGAATAAAGAACAAAAACAGCATTGGGTTCAGGTAAATGGAAGTCTTGGTGATGAGAAGGTCATGAGATGCACAAGTCTTCAGTAGTAAGTGATCATTGCTGCTGCTGTTTCCAACTTCATTCCTCCCAACGACTCCCTGCCATGTCTGCTAGTCTGTGCCTGCACTAGCATTAAAGTCACCCAGAATTATGCACTTGTCCTCTTTTGGCACAATGATGATAAGGGTCTCCAGGTCTTATAACACTTTTCTTTGGCTTCATCAGAATTCGCCATGGTGGAAGCGTAGGCGCTGATGATTGGTGGCATGACGTTTTCTTGCAAGTAGCAATCGCATTGTCACGAGCCTCTCATTCACTCCTTTTGGTAGGCATAAAAGTTTGTTAATTTGATTAGTTTTGATTGCAAAACCTAGACCAGCCTCATGGCGCTCCCTTTCACTGTGGCCACTCCAGAAAGATGTGAATCCAGCTCTGACTTCAGTAAGCTGGCCTTCATTTGCCAGCCTTGTTTCACTCAGGGCTGCTTTTTTGATGCAATACCTGCTGAGCTCTCTTGCAACAAGAGCTGTTCATCTTTCAGTTCTACTGGATTTTGTGTCATCTATAAGTGTGTGAACATTTCACGTGTCGATGGTGAGTGGAATCGTCTTTACAAAAGTTTTTGTATTTTTTTATGTTTTGACCACAAGGTAGAATCCCTACATGCCGTGGCAAGCAGGCCAGGGTTAGGTTAGGTGAAGCAGGCACTTTTAAGGGCACCTTTTCTAGCCCCTTATAGTCCTTTAAAAAAAAAACTGCTCAGACATCCAGGCTCTGCCAAGTCTCACTGCTGCTTCAGGCCAGTGAGAAGACGACTCTATGGCCTGGGCTGCCTGTGTGCAGGGTTGTGACTATAGTGCCCAGTGTATCCATACCTGCCGCTTCATCAGTTATGCGTCACCAGAGGACTCTGAGGTGGGTAAAAATGGCAGAAGGTACAGGTGATGCCTTTTGATTCACACATAAACTGGATTTAAGTGAGGCAGTGTTGTGTGATATCGGCCTCTCTCCCTCTTCCAGAGTCATCGAGGTCTAGTGCAGGCCAGTCAAGATGATGAGGGATGGCTCAAGACGCAGTAGATGGCCTTGGAGTCTTCCGCGTCTGACCCAGCTCCAAGCGCTCCACAGCATCTGCTTCAGCTGCCTTCACTGCCGTTGGAACGAATTGTTCTCATCCGCCCATTCCGCCAAGGGAAGTCTTCACATACTAAGAGTAGAATCACCAAGACACCAGCAGGTTTGAGGTCTCTTGGTTACTCTGCCCATCTGCTGAAATAGTGTGCCCGATTGTGGCTGCTGCACGTGCTCCAGCTTCTTGGAGCCGTAGGTGAGAGCTGGGTGGCAGGTCGACACTCAGGTGGATGAGCAGCTGCCCACCAGAGGTGCTGGTCTGCCTGGATCACCCAGATACTCCCAAATGTCAATTGGCTTGGACTGGTCTGAGCACAGGCCTTCCGAGCTCCTTTGCAGCTCTCAGATTTGGTGACTTCGTGACTCGGCCCTCTCAGGGACAGAACACTGTGACAAGCAAATGAACGTGGCCGGCTGTCTCCATGACGGTATGGTTCTAGAACCAAGGCCAGGAGAGGCCCAGACCATGGCGCTGCTGGGCACGTAGCCATCGGCAGTTCCAGAGCCTAGCTCCAGACGGGATAGGGGGCACATCTTGTCACGCGAGGTGGCTGAAGGCCCCGGGGCTTCCCACCCGTTCCCTCCGGGTCACTATGAGCCTGGAACTGTACTTGGACCTCATCTCTCCACCCTGTCGGGCCGTTTACATCTTTGCCAAGATGAACAATATCCACTTCGACTACTTTGCCGTGGATCTGCTGCACGGTCAGGAGGGGACCCCCCTCCCCGGGGCACTGGGCGAACTGCCTCGTCCCAAAGCAGTCTGGGCCCTCCAGAGCTCCCGAATCCCAGCAGCCTCAGGGGAGGGGCGTAGGTCCGGTCTCAGCTCCAGGCGCCCACTGTGGGAGCTCAGAGGAACGTCCCCTCCCAGTCCTAGAAGGTGGCCTGGGCTAAGTGATGGAGCCGAGAGCCCGGCGGGGCGGGGGGGGCGGGGGGGGGACTGCCGACTCACTCGCCAAACGTCTCTTTTGGTCCAGAGGACGCAGCCCCGCCGCCTCCTGCCTGGCTGTCCGACCTCTCCTTCTTTGCCTCTTTTCTGCTTGGATGCTCTGCCAGCCCAGTCTGGCCTTTCTCCCCCCCCCAGGCCTTCAGGGCTGCATGTGTTTTTGAAGGCTCCCCCTCCAGTTCCCAGGAGGGAAGAACTACCTTGGTGACCTTGAGGAAATCTCTTCCCTTGGTTTCAGTCTCCTCATGGGTCAGAAAAGGAGGTTGGGGGGGACAGCTGGGGAGGTCAGTGGATAGAGCACCGGCCCTGGAGTCAGGAGGACCTGAGTTCAAATCAGGCCTCAGGCACTGGACACTTACTAGCTGTGTGACCCTGGCCAAGTCACTTAACCCCATTGCCTAGCCAGAAAAAGGGAGGGAGGTTGGACTGGGTCGCCTTTGGGGTCCCTTCCAGCTCTATATCTGGCATCCTGTGGGACCCCAGATGAACGCTTGAAGACATGCATGCCAAGGGGGACACCAGTAACAGCTGGCATTCATGGAAAGCTTTAACATCCCTAAAAGTGTACAAATGGTATCTCATGTAGTCCATACATTATTACATATTACTATTATCCCCATTTTATAGGTGAGTAAACTGAGGCAAAGAGGTCAAATGGCTTGCCCTGGGTCACAGAGCTAGTAGGTGTCTGAGGCAGGATTTGAACTCAGGTCTTCCTGACTCCAGGCTCAGCCCTCTCCACTGGGCCACCTAGCTGCCACCTAGCTCCCATGGGAGCGTGGATTGGAAGACAGTGTGGACCAGTGGCTAGAAGCCTGCAGGCCTGGGTTCTGACCCTGGGGCTGCTGCTAACCTGCTGTATACCCTTGGTCAAGTCTCTGTCCTCTCTCTGGGTCTCAGGGTCCTCATCCGTAGCCTGGGGGGCAGGACAGATGGTCGTGAAGGTCCCTGCTGATGGAGTTTCTGGCACTTGGTGAGGGGAGCCGGGGCCTAGGGGTGAAGGGCTCGTGCCTTCCCTCAGCCCTGCCTGGCTCTCAATGGAACCTTCTCTCTGGCACAGGTGAGCAGCACAGCAAAGAGTTTGAAGCTATCAACATCCTCAGGAAAGTGCCCTTGCTCCGAGAGGGAAGCTTCATCTTGGCTGAGAGGTGATGCGGGCCATGCCAGAGGGCAGCTGCAGAGTCTGGGAGTGAAGGCCCCCTGCACAAGTGCTGGGTGTCCCCAGAACCCTTGGCCTGGGCCCTGCTGGGCAGTCTTAACATGAAGCCCCTGTGACCTCAGGCAAACCCTTCAAAACAATCCTGGGTGTTAGAAAGTCAGCCTGAAACTGATACATGAGAATGATCTCTGCACAGCCTGGCTGTGTGACCCTGGACAAGTCACCTCCCAGTGCTTTATTAGTGGCAACTTGCACTGAAATGACAGTTTACTGTCTACAGCAACTAAATCACTTTGCAGGGGGTTGGGGGGAGCTTGAGTAGTTGTGTCCAACTCCTCATCACCTGATTTGGGCTTTTCTTGGTGGAGACACTAGAGTGGTTTTGCTACTTCCTTCTCCGGCTCATGTTACATATAAGGAAACTGAGGCAAACAGGGTTGAATGACACTCCCAGAATCACACATCCAGTAAGTGTCTGAAGTCAGATTTGAATTCAGCTTCCTGACTCCAGGCCTAACACTCTATCCACTGCGTCATCTAGCTGTTCAATAAAATCATTGGTCCAACCCTTTTCCTCAAAGAGACTAAGGGCCACTAGGGGTTGCACTGGTTAGAATGCTGGACCCAGATTGAGGAAGACCCGAGTTCAAATCCTACCTTAGACACTGACAAGTCATACTCCTCTGTGACCCTCAGTTTCTTCATCTGTAAAATGGGGATAACAATAGCCCCTACTTCACAGGGTTGTTGTGAGGATCAGATAAGATAATACCTATTTATGTACTTTGCAGTCTTTAAAATGCCCCATCTAGGCTAGCTCTTGGGGTTAACACGCTAGCCCAAGTGCTGAGTGGGGGAGGCTTACCCCCTCCAGTGGGCACTTCATACACATCTGGGGGTGGTGGAAGAGGGCATTCTCACTTATCCCTCTATTCTGCCCCACCTACAACACCTGGCCTCTCTCTCCCCCTTTCCTGGACCTTCCCTTGCAGCGTGCCCATCCTGTTATACCTGACCCGCAAATTCAGCACCTCTCTCTATTGGTACCCACCTGATATACGTATACAGGCCCGCATTGATGAATACATGGCCTGGCAGTATGAAGGCATGCAGATCATCATGGAAAAGATTCTGTGGTCAAAGGTAAAGAGGTTCCTCCCCCTGCTCCCCCCAAAGTGAAGGAACTCGGAAATCCGACCTTCACGGGTTGCTTCTTGCGACCAATCAATAGGCATGAGATGGAAAGAAGGAAGGATGGATGGATGGAGGGAAGAAAAAAGGGAGGAAGAAAGGGAGGGAGGAAGGGAGGGAGGACAGGAGGAGTGGGTCTGGGGTCATGTGGGAGGGTGTCAGGGGAGGCCCTGGCTGGCCTCATGGACTGGGCTGATGCTGATGGAAAGCACTTTGTGATTCCGAGAGAAGTCCTGCAGACTTGGGTGGGCAGGAATGTCAGGGAGCAGGGGGGCCCCTTTCTGCCCTCTTTGCCCCTCCCCTTCTCTCTCTCGTTCCTGACCCCAAGTCCTCTTCCTGACCAGTTGCTGATTCCAATGATTACGGGGCAGGAAGTGCCACAGGAGAAGGTAGATGACGTACTGAAACAAGCAGAGACCAACATACAGTTGTTCTGCGACCACTTCCTGAAGGATAAGCCGTTTCTAGTAGGGAACGTCATCAGCTTGGCTGACCTGATGGCTGCGGTGGAGTTGATGCAGGTGATAAGAGCTGTCTGGGGGACCAAAATTGCCCACTGGGAGGGGTTGGGAATCCCAGAAACCAGAGGTGTCCCCACCGAGGCCACTGTGAGCCCCTGTGCAGGGGAGAGGGGAGCCTTTCCAAGTATCTTCCAGGCTCAGCTGGTTGGTGGGGGCCCCAGAAATCCCCAGCAAGAAGTGGGAGCCTCATGGAGCAGGGTGACCAGCCGGCAAGTCTGGGGGAAGGCATAAAGTAGAAGCAACTTTTTGGGGGGAAGTCACTCAGGACAGGAAGAAACACTGCTGTGAAGCTCACCCCTCCCTAGAGCTATCAAACTTCCAGGTGTTATGAAGTTACAGGGGCAAGTGGGACTCAGAACTAGGATCGAATGGGTAGACGCTGGAGGCTTGATGGAAGTAAGAACTCACGACGAGTTGGAGCTTTGAGAGGGAGAAGATGCTGCCACAGATGCCCCTCAGAGGCCTCATTGTACAGAGGAGGAAACTCAGTTCCAGACTGGTTAAGGGGCTTGTCTGAGACCACACAGGTCATTAGCACCAGAGGTGAGATTGGAACCCAGGTCCCCCAACTCCACGCCCCAGGCTCTTTACTGATGAGTAGTAATTGTCAGGCATATTGCTGCAGGGAGGTGCAGTGGTTAGAGCCCTGGACCTGGTGTCAGGAAGACTCCATTTTAAATCCAGATGCAGACACTTCCTAGCTGTGTGATCCTGGGCAGGTCACTTAACCTCTCTTTGTCTCGGTTTCCTCATCTGTAACAACAGGCATGATAATAGCACCCACCTCCCGAGATTGTTGTGAGTCTCAAATGAAGTAAGAGTTGTAAAGTGCTTAGCAGAGTGCCTGGCACATAGCAGGTGCTATGGAAATGTAAGCTACTGTTATTCTTATGTCACAGAGGAGAGTTTGTCTTGAGTATGAGTAAATGACTACTGGTACCTCTTGCATCTCTGAGATGCTGAAATTTGGTGGGGGTAGGCAGAGGAGTCCTTAAAAAGAACTAAAAATAAATCTAGGTGAGAAAGATCAGATGGGGAAGACAATTAAAGACACCATGTTACAAGCAGAAAAAAGAGCCAAGCAGAATTTGGTTTGCCATAACACGACCATGCTTGCCACATTGGCAATTAAAAGTGTGATTTATTCAGATAGTCATTTCAAATTTCAGTGATGCCATATGACTATGAGCCATGGACCACTGTAGCTCCAAAGAATTGATGTGAGTGAAGTCAAGTGGGCCTTAGGAAGCATTGCTAACAATAAGGCTAGCAGAGGTGATGGAATTCCAGCTGAGCTATTTAAAATCCTAAAAGATGAGGCTGTTAAAGTGCTGTACTCAATATGCCAGTAAATTAGGAAAACTCAACTGTGGCCACTGGATTGCAAAAGATCGGTTTATGTCCCAATATTAAAAAAGGGCAATACCAAGAAATGTTCAAATTACCAATTGTGCTCATTTCACATGCCAGCAAGGTCATGCTTAAGATTCTGCAAGCTAGGCTTCAGCAATACATGAGCTGAGAATTAGTAAAAGAGCAGGCAGAGGAACTACAAACCAGATTGCCAGCATTTGCTGGATTATGGAGAAAGCAAGGGAGCTGTAGAAAAACATCTACTTCTGCTTCACTGACTTACACTAAAGCCTTCAGCTGTGTGGATCACAACAAAATGTGGCAAGTCCTCAAAGAGACAGGAGAACCAGATCATCTTACTTGTTTCCTGAGGGAGCTGTATGAGGGTCAAGAAGCAACAGTTAGAATTGAACATGGAACAACTAATTGGTTTAACATTGGGAAAGGAGCATGACAAGACATGTATGTTGTCATTTAACTTTTATGCAGAGTACACCGTGCAGAATGCCAGGCTGAATGAATCAAAAGCTGGACTTCAGGTTGCCAGGAGAAATACCAATAATCTCAGATATGCAGATGATACCACTGTGATGGAAGAAAGGGAAGAATTAAGAAGACTTGATGAGAGTAAAAGAGTAGTGTGTAAAAGCTGGCTTGAAGCTTAACATCAAAAAAAAAATAAGATCTTGACAACTAGTCTTATAGCTTCTTGGCAAGTAAAGGGAGCAGAAATGGAAGCAGTGTCAGCTTTTATTATTCTTGGGCTCAAAGATCACTGCAGATGGTAACTGTCAAATTAAAAGATGCTAACTCCTTGGAAGGAAAGCTATGGCAATCTGGATAGCAAACTAAAAAGCAGACATCAGCTTGCCAACAAAGGTTCCTGTAGTCAAAGCTAGGATTTCTCCAGTAGCGATGTATGGCTATGAGAGTTGGACTATTATGAAAGCTGAGCACTGCAGAATCAATGCTTTTGAATTGTGGTGCTGGAGAAGACTTTTTAGAGTCCCTTGGACAGAAGGAGATGAAATCAGTCAATACTTGAAAGAAATTAATTCAGCCTATTAACTCGAAGGCATGCACACAGCTTGGTAGTGTATAAAGTGCTGGCCCTAGAGTCAGGAAGACTCATGTTCCTGAGTTCAAATCCAGTCTCAGACTCTTATTTGGCTATGTGACTCTGGGCAAGTCACTTACTCTGTTTGCCTCAGTTCCTCATCTGCAAAATGAGCTGGAAAAGGAAATGGCAAACCACTTCAGTATCTTTGCCAAGAAAACCCCAAAGTGGGTCATGAAGAGCTGGACATGACTGAAAATGACTGAACCACAAAAATTCAAATTCTAAAGTTGAAACTTAAATATTTTTGCCACATAATGAGAAGACAGGACTTATTGGAAAAGACCCTGATGTTGGGAAAGTTTGAAGGCAAAAGGATAAGGGGATGGCAGAGAATAAGATGGATAGACAGTACCATGCAAACAACCAACGTGAGCTTGGACAGACTTCAGGAGACAGTAGGTATTCCATAATAGAGGATAGAAATGCCTGGTGTGCTAGGGTCCACAAGATCACAAAGAGCCAGACATGACTGAATGACTGAACAAATATGAATGCATACAAGGGAAACAGCAATGAGTAAAACTGGCCTTTTCAGGCTAACCTAATTGAACAGGGAATGTATCTCCACAAACAAAGGTGCAGCTATGATCAAAGATTGCTTCTTGGCCTGTTAAAGACTAGAGAACTGTAGATTTGGGCAAATCTTTTGACAGTCTACCACTTCATCCCTGTAGACAACATCAAGAGAGTTGCATTAGATCATAGTTAGGTAAATTTGTAAGTAATCGAATGGTCAGACCCAAAAAATAGTAGCTAATGGATTGATGTTAACTTGGAAGGACGACTCCAGTGGAATGCTCCAGGAATCTGTGCTGCTTATCATTTTAATTTTTTTGTTGTTGTTGTTTAATTTGGTTTTTACATTTTTTAAATTTTTAAAATTTTTAACATATGTTTTTAAAACTTTGGGTTGCAAATTTTCTCCCTTCCTCCCTCCCCACCCACCCTCATTGAAAAGGCAAGTATCTCGATACATGTTATAGATGTACAGTCATGCAATTACTGCCATAGTAGTCTTGTGAAAAACTAAGTATATTTCTCTTCATCCTATCCTACTCCCCATTTATTCTATTCTCTCTTTTGACCCTGTCCCTCCTCAAAAGTGTTTGCTTTTGATTATGCCCTCCCCCAGTCTGCCCTTCCCTCTATCAACCCCTGCTCTCTTGTCCCTTCCCCCTTATTTTCCTGTAGGGTAATATAGATTTCCATACCCCATTGTGTATGTTATTCCCTCCTTAAGCCAAATCCTATGAGAATAAGATTCACTCATTCCCTCTCACCATCCCCCATTTCCCCTCCACTGTAAAAGCCTTTTCTTGTCTGTTTCATGTGAGATAATTTACCCCATTCTACTTCTCCCTTTCTCCTTCTCCTAGTATAATCCTCTCTCACTCCTTAATTTTATTTTCCAGATATCACCCCTTCATCTTCAACTCACCCTGTGCCCTCTATCTATCTATGTATACATACATATAATTTTTTTCCCTCCCACTACCCTAATACTGACAAAGGACTCATGAGTTACAAATATCATCTTTCCATGCAGGAATGTAAACAGTTCAACCTTAATAAGTCTCTTATGATTTCTCTTTCCTGTTTACCTCTTCCATGTTTCACTTGAGTCTTGTATTTGAAAGTCAAATTTTCTATTCAGCTCTGGTCTTTTCCTCAGGAATGCTTGAAAGTCCCCTATTTCATTGAATGACCATTTTTACCCTGAAGGATTATACTCAGTTTTGCTGGGTAGGTGATTCTTGGTTGTAGTCCTATCTCCTTTGCCCTCTGGAATATTATATTCCATGCCCTGCTCCCTTAATGTAGAAGCTGCTAAATCTTGTGTTATCCTGATTGTGTTTCCACAATACTTGAATTGTTTCTTTCTGGCTGCTTGTAATATTTTCTCCTTGACCTGGGAACTCTGGAATTTGGCTACAATATTCCTAGGAGTTTTCCTTTGGGGATCTCTTTCAGGAGGTGATCAGTGGATTCTTTCAATTTCTATTTTGCCCTCTGGTTCTAAAATATCAGGGCAGTTTTCCTTGATAATTTCTTGAAAGATGATGTCTAAGCTCTTCTCTTGATCATGGCTTTCAGGTAGTCCAACAATTGTTAAGTTCTCTCTCCTGGATCTATTTTCCAGGTCGGTTGTTTTTCCAATGAGATATTTCACATTCTCTTCTATTTTTTCATTCTTTTGGATTAGTGTTACAGTGCCTTTATTTCTCAAATTGCCACTAGCTTCCAATTTCTTCATTCTAACTTTTAAGGAAGCATTTTCTTCAGTAAGCTTTTGGACTTCCTTTTCCATTTGGCCAATTTTGCTTTTTAGGGCATTCTTCTCCTCATTGGCCTTTTGGACCTCCTTTGCCATTTGGGTTAGCTATTTTTTAAGGTGTTACTTTCTTCAGTATTTTTTTGGGTCTCCTTTAGCATCACTCTCAATTTTTCCTCTACTTCTCTTCCTTGCTTCTCAAAATCCTTTTTGAGCTCTTCCATTGGCCTGGAACCAATTCATATTTTTCTTGGAGGCTTTGTATGTAGGAACTTTGGCTTCATGTTCTTCTTCTGGTTGTACATTTTGATCTTCTTTGTCACCAAAGTAAGATAATATAGTCGGACTGTTTTTATGTTGCTTGCTCATGATCCGGCCAATTATGTGAGTTATAGAGAATGTACTGTCCCAAGCTTCAGGGGTTTTGTGCAGCTGTTTTCAGTTCTTCCAAGGTGCTATGATCAAGGGCGAGGTGTTACTCCTTTCCTGGCCTGTGCTCTGGTCTATGAGTGACCACAAGCAGTTGTTTCTGTCTTGGAACTGTGTGGGTTTTCTCTCCACAGCCACTACAAGCTCCACCATGCCAGCACTCCTCCTCGCCCCAGGACCGCCACCTAGAACTGTGATCTAGATCCAAGCATGGGCAAAGCAAGAGAATCCTGCACCAGCAGAGAGATCCCTGCAATCCTCCTCTGATCAGCCACCCAATTACCCCTCAGTTTGTGGGCCGGAATCTCAGGAGGCAGCCACTACCATGGGACCGCATTCTAGGGGAACTGGAGCTGAGACTCTGGGCTCCTCTCTCAGGGCTGCACAAACAGTTTTCCCACTGACCTTCTAAGTGGTCTTTGGTTTTTGTGGGTTGAGAAGTCTGGAAACCACCACAGCTCTGTTTGATTCAGTCCTCTGTGGCCTGCTCCAGGTTCACTGCAGCCTGCATGCCCACGCTGCACTGTGTTCCTGTACCTGCCTGGCGAGATATACCTTCCAATCAACCATCCAGGTTGTCTTGGTCTGGAAATTTGTTTCACTCTGTCTTTTTGTGGGTTCTACTGCTTTAGAATTTGTTTACAGCCATTTTTTATAGGTATTTGGAGGGGTTTGGGGGGATAGCTCAAGCAAGTCACTGCTTTCACTTTGCCACCTTGGCTCTGCCTCTCTGCTTAACATTTTTATCAATTACTTAGATAAAGGCACAGATGGCATACTTATCAAATTTAAGATTCCACAAAGCTGGAGAAATAACTAACACACTAGATGACAAAATCCAAATGGACCTTAGAGCATCAAAGACTATTTAGAGTTCAAAGACCATCTTAGAGGCTGTCTGGTCCAAGCTATGATCTGCAACATTCCACAAGTGGTCATCCAGCTTTGCCTTCCCATAAGGAGGAGTCCACAACCTCCTGAGATTTTCCACTCCACTTTCAGTTACTGTCAGGAGACTTTCCTAATCTTAGGCTACCAAAGCTGCATCTCTGAAGCTCCCACCTATCATTCCTAGCACAGCTTCTGAAGCCAAAGACAACAAGCCTAATCCTTGTTTGAAGGACAGCTAGCATATTGGAGATCACAGTGTCCTCATCTGTAAAATAACAATCCTGACTTCCCTACTTCCTGGTCCTATGACCTTAAACAACTCGTTATTGTGCTTCAAGTCTCTGATTCTTCATGCAAATAATCACAGATCACACTTCAGGGTCAGTTTTGCTCTTAGAAGGCACCTTCCTCAGTGGCCTCTTACTCGACTGCTGGACGGTGCTATCTCTTTGGAGCAGAAACAAAAGAGTGTCCATACATCATTGTACCGTATGGTACATAGAAGCTATAATTGTCCCTGCATACCCACACCTTTCCTTTAGGATATCACGTGCTCTGTCACCTTCAGAAGGGTCTTTCTAATACCATGTCCCAAGTGGGTGGGGGTCACTTTGCCATCCAGTCTATGTGATTGAGTCTGGGGTCTGGGAGAAACTGATTGAATATCCAATTCTTCCTTTTCCTTAAGGAAATCTTGTTGTTTGGTCATTTCAGTTGTGTCCAACTCTTTGTGACCCTGTTTCAGGGTTTTCTTGGCAAAGACACTGGAGTGGTTTGCCATTTCCTTCTCTAGCTTATTTTACAGGTGAGGAAACTGAGGCAAACAGAATTAAGTGCCTTGCCCAGGGTCACATAGCTAGTGTCTGAGTCTGGATTTGAACTCAGGTCCTTTCTGATGCCAGGCCTGGCACTCTATCCACTGTGCCACCCAGCAAGGGGTTGTTTACTTGCAAATGCAGGGAGGCTTAGATTCCCAAGGGCAGTTGTCTTGCTAATTGGAAAAAAAAATTCCAATAAACACCCCATTCACCCCAGGGCTTCAACCCACATGGCTGGAGGTGGCCCTGAATTCTGAAAGGCTTGGGCAGGTTCTACCAAGCTGGAAAGCTTTCATAGATATGGCACCCAGTGATAGACTTGAAGGTGTGTTGAAGATCTTACTCTGGGACTTTGGGCTGAATCTGATAAGATGATAGGACAGCCAAGAGAAGGGATTCTGTCTCAGGCTGCATCAGGTCTTCTTACCCCTTTCTCCTCAACACTCCTCTTTGATCCAGCGACACCAGCCTCCTGACTGTTCCACCAAGACCTTCCGTGGCTCCAGGCATTTTCTCTGGCTTTTTCTCCCCCATTCCTGGAATGCTCTCCCTCCTGTGCTCTGACTGCCAACTCTCTGGCTTCCTTTAAGTCTCAACTAAAGTCATTCCTTCTGCAGGAAGCCTTCCACAACCCCTCCTCATTCCAGTGCCTTCCTTCTACTCATGATTTCCTATTTATCCTGTAGGTAGCTTATTTTGCGTATAGAATATTGGTTTGCATATTGTCTTTCCCATTAGACTGTAAGCTCCTGGAGGGCAGGGACTGTCTTTTGCTTCTTTTCATGTATGCAGTGCTTAGTGCAATGCCTGGAATGTAGTTGCTGTTGTTGAGTCATTCGGTGATGTCTGACTCTGTTTGACCTCATGGACCATAGCATGGCAGGCCCTTCGAGCCTCCACTCTCTCCTGAAGTCTGTCAGAGCTCACATTGGTTGCTTTCATGACTCTATCCATCCTACCCTCTTCTGTCCCATTTTCCTTTTGCTTTCATCTTTCCTGACACCAGAGTCTTTCCCAGTGAGTCCCCAACTTTTCTTTATGTGGTCAAAGTGTTTAAACTTCAGCTTCAGTATCTGACCTGCCAATGAATTGCCTGATTTAAGTGGCTCATAACAGGTGCTTAATAAATGTTTATTAAATGAATGAATAATAATGATGATGATGATGGCTATCATTCTTATAGTACCTTAAGTTTTGCAAGTTACATTATTCTATTTGATTCTCTCTACATCCCTGGGAGGTAAGTGTAACTATTATCCCCATTTTACAGATGAAGAAACTGAGTCTTAGTTAAGTGGTTTGCCTGTGGTCACCTAGCCAGATCACAAAATCATAGATCTAGAACTGGAAGGGTCTTCAAAGCTCCTGAGTCCAAACTTCTCCCAGACAAGGGTCACACATAGCTAATAAGCATTTTAGGCAGGATTTGAATCCAGCTCATCCAGACTGTAAGCCTAGAACCCCAGCCACTATAGTACACTGCCTCTCACCCATGTGCTCCTGCCTAAAGATCTCTCCCTTCCAGCTGAGCCATTAAAGTGAGACTGTTCATTGGCAGCATTCCTCCCAACCAAGCACACACACACCCCACCCAAGTCTGCAAGCAGTCTCACAATGCCATTCACTCCTCTTGTTGGCTGGTCCCACAAACCGCCTCCTACTACCACACTGAGCTGTAGCCACTACAAGGCCTGTCTAGGTTGCTTTGACCCAGAGACCTCACATAGTTAAAACAAGTCAAAGCCTTCCAAATGAACCACCAGGAAAGACGCCAGCACACACATGGCATAGAGGCAGCTGCTGTTCTCCTGACACCAAGTTCTTACCACAGAGAGCTAAGGAGCACTCTGTCCCTGCATCTCCATCACCCATCAGGGCTTTGTTCCCTGTTGTGATGCTCAGTCAATGCCTGAAACCCATCCCAATTCCTGCCACCATCCTTGGGGACTCCAATGTGCCATCCTTCCCTTTACCATAACTATGACGGCTGAGTTCTCAGTTCTACAAAAGCAGTTCCACCATTCAGCTCTCAGCAAAGTCTCCCAAGAATTCCTTTTGTGATGTTTCTTCATAAGATAAACTAAAAGAGTTTTCTCAGAAAAGAAGTTTCTCTTCATCCCCTTTCTCTATACCTCACTCAGTATTGCTTCTGCTATGACAAATAACAGTCTTCCCAGAGGGACAGTTCAATTACCAGTCTCTCAAGATTCTCTTTCCTACTAAAGATGCCGTAATGTATCTTTTGCCTTTATGGGAGAGAAGCTATTGAAGCTGGGATTACATATGATTCTGTAATATTCAAATATTATCTTATATAACAGAGTTCAAGGACGGTTTCATGGAAGAAGTGGGACCTGAGCTATGAAAGATAAATGGCAGAATGGGTGAGGGAAGTTGGAGCACAGGAGAGGCTGTGAGACAAGGCCTCTGGGTGGTAAGGAGGTAGAAAGGGAATGATCTGGAGATTTAGGTTGGGCATGTGGATAAGTTAACCCACACACTTTGTCCTTCTGTTTGTCTGTAGCCATCGGGTGCTGACTTTGATATCTTCCTTGGCAGACCCAAGCTCAACGAATGGCTTCTGCGGGTAGAGGAAATTGTGGGTCACAGACTCTTCCAGGAGGCCCATGAGAAACTGCTAACCATCAAGAATTGGGACATATCCATTTTAGATCCCAGTGTGAGGAAGAAGATCCTTATCATGATAGAGAAAGTGACCAAATGAATGGAGAAGGTCCTTTTAACATGGGCAGGTCTTCTGGGAGTGGGAAGACCTTGGTTAGACAGAGGGCTTAGGGGCATTTTGCAGATCCTAAAGATTATGGTGGTCCCATCCTTCTCTTAATAAAGAGTCAGTGTCTGGGCTGCAACCCAGTGAGGAGTCTTGGCCTTTGCTAGCAGGCTTCTCCATGGAACATCACCTAGGGGTCTCATCTGACAATTGCAGTGGTGGGGAGCATCTTTCAGGAGTAACAGGAAAGATTGGAGAAGTAGAGGGAATAGCAGGACTCCTCTAAGAACTGATTGGTTCCCTCCCTCAAGGGGACAGGCCAAACCTAGCTGACGAGAGGTTTGATTTAAGCAGCCTAAGTAGCAAAAAAAAAAAAAAGAAAAAGAAAAAGAAAGAAAGAAAGCAAGCAAGAAAGAAAGAGAGAAAGAGAGAAAGAAAGCAAGAAAGCAAGAAAGAAAGAAAGCAAGAAAGCAAGAAAGAAAGAAAGCAAGCAAGCAAGAAAGAAAGCAAGAAAGAAAGAAAGAGAGAAAGAGAGAAAGAGAGAAAGAAAGAAAGAAAGCAAGAAAGAAAGAAAGCAAGAAAGCAAGAAAGCAAGAAAGAAAGCAAGCAAGAAAGAAAGCAAGAAAGCAAGAAAGAAAGAAAGAAAGAGAAAGAAAGAAAGAAAGAAAGAAAGAAAGAAAGAAAGAAAGAAAGAAAGAAAGTAAAAGCAAGCAAGCAAGAAAGAAAGCAATGGGGGTAACAGAGTTTGTGGGTAGGAAATAAGCAGAATGTACCTGCTCTGAAATTTCCAGAAGAGGCCAAGTGAACCCCATCTCTCCCTTGCTATTTCCAAAAGGAGTTCCCCAAAGTTCCCAAGATGTAAACACTTCCACTCTCCTAGGTTGTTGCTCCATTCAAACTCGATTAGTGATGACAATTGGTTCCTGTGTATTTAATGATCATGCCTAGGCTCAGGTCTCCCAAAGGGATATATCCAACCCCATTCTCTCTCTTGAGCTAAATGCTGCACCACCATCTACCAAATCCTAGACTTCTCCACCTGGAGGTTCTGTAGACATCACAAAGCTCAGTTCTGTCCTCATCCCTCCACCCCACCTCTGCTGTTGGCATCCCTCTCAATTTTCCCAGTGTTATCTCTATTTCCTTTTTGTTCACATGTTATCTACCTGAAGGAACATATGCTGCTCCAGGGCAGGAATTGTTTGATTGAAGTCTTTGGCAACCAGGGAGCATGGTGCATGGATTTGGAGGCAGGAAGACTAGAGTTTGAATCCTGCCTCAGACACTAGTAGTTTGACTCTTAGAAAATCACTTAACTTTGCCTTGGTTTTCTCACCTACAAAATGGAGGTAAGAATAACACCTCCAGGGTTGTTGTGAGGATCAAATGAGGCATTTGCAAAGATAATATTTCTAAAGGCTTTACAAACCTTAAAGGGCTATCTAAATGCTAGCTAGATAAATAGCTAGGTAGCTAGTAGCAGTAGCAGTAGTAGCAGTAGTAATAGTAGTAGTAGTAGTAGTAGTAGTGGTAGTGGTAGTGGTGGTGGTGGTGGTGGTAATAGTAGTAGTAGCTGCTGCAGCAGCAGTAGTACCAGTAGTAATAGTAACAGTAGTAGTAGTACTTGCAGTACTAGCAGCAGCAGCAGCAGCAGCACACATCATAGGGTCTTGCCCAGAGGCGCTTAATAAATTTTTTGTTGAATTTAAGTTAATTGAAGTGAAGTGAATAGAATTGGATGGGAATTGAGTGGAAATTGCCCTACAACAATATACTCATGAGACAATAATTCACTGATGGTTTCTTGCATGCACTCAAGGGTCTGGGGCACTGTTTCTTTGGGGAGTAGCCAAGGTCCTTCAGGCCTACATTTCCCCTCTCCCTTTCTTGCACCTCTCAAAGAACTCCTCCCTGGGATATTCTTGCTGGCAAGTTTTCTTAAAGTCATATGAACCATTATCCTAACTACCATTCAAGGGAAGGAATTGTTTTCCACACACAGACAGAGATAGGTGTTGTTGCAAATCGAGGACATGGTGCTCCATGCTTAACACTTGCTGACCAAACTTAGCTGGAGTTCCCTCTGTATTAAGCAGGGTCTCAGTTAAGGGGTAATGGCATTTACCTGCCTATAGCAGGGTGGTACCTTGGTTGTTCCCAAGCAGCTGCCAGGATTCTTCAAGAGATACTCCCACCTTCATCAGCCCTATGTATATTTCTCATGCCTTTGTCAAGTAGAGAAGGCTTCAATGTTCTGATTGAGGATGCAGGGTGGGAAAAAATGTAATTAGTCAGTCAATAAATACTAAGTGCCTACTATATGCCAGGCACTATGCTGAACAGTGGAAGCACAAAAAGAGGCCAGAGACAGTTCCTGCCCTCAGGAAGCTCACAATCTAACGGAAGACAATCTCAGAATACTTACTCCCCATTAACTTACTCCTGCATCCAGGGTTATGCCAGGGAGCCCCAAACTATTAGGAACCTGAGAGGTGCCAGGCCCCTGAGGAATAAGAGCCATTGCCCTCTTTTGAGAACTATGTGTTCATATTCTTTAGCCACTCATTCCTTGAGGAAAGTCTCTTGATCTTGTATTATTTTCCTATATGTCTTAAATATCAGAGCCTTGCACTTTGTTATAGTTACCTGTGACATCCCCCAGTAGACTCCAAGCTCCACTAGTGCAAAAACTATGGCTTACATCAACTCTGTTTGTACCCTAGAACCTATAACAGTTCTCTATAAACAGCAGGAACTTCATAAAATAATTGCCAAAAGGAACTGAATCAATGGGTTTTGAAAAGGGAATTTCTGCAGGATTTCCAATGATGCAGAACACTTTTTCTGCTAACACTAATAATGCCTTTTCCCAGATGGCAGAACTGGCACAGAGACATGATGGAGAGTTAAAGCAATGTAGCTGGTGGGAAATAGGAAGCTGGAAAAGCTAATTGATGTTAAGCCAAAGTGAGAGAAATGAATACTATACTATCATATTAATAACTAATTTTTAATTCTGATCCACCTTTCCTCTCTTCTATTCTCTGTAAAGGTCCAACTCCTGTTAAGGTCAGTCAGTCTCTGAAGGGTATGGCCGATTGATGAGGTTGCACCTGACTCTCAAGGAACATGCTTATCAACTTTGGGTGGGACCCCATCCAACTAGGAGACCTAATTTCCATTTAGAGTATAAACAGAATCCAGTCTGAGCTAGAGAGGCACCCCTGTCCTTCATCTCCTGCATTAGATTTTAGGGTGACCCAGCTTATGAAAGAGACAACCAGACAGAGAGGTCTGGACAGAGGTGGCTTCCTCCTGCCAAACTGCTGGAAGCTGCTGAGTCTTATGATTACGACACATTCTCAGCAAGAGAAGCTGAAGACTTTAAGCCCACCTCCTCATTAAATGTCCACCAGTCAAGGTTGTTTTCACTTCTCAGGGGAATTCCCTTTCAGAAGATGTCTAAGACGTTTTAGGAAAAGCACTGACCATCAATTTATTGATTTCCAGCTAGGTTAATTAATAAACCGATGATTAATTACCCAGGGTTTTCATTTGCTGAAAATCAAATCAAGAGGCATGTATGACTTGCCTTCTATGCGCCAGGCACTATACTAGGCACTGGGGACACAAAGACAAAACAAAAGGCCTGCTCTAGAGGAGCTCACAGTCTTATGGAGGAGATGACATTTAAACAACAATGAACAAACAAGCTACGAGATGAATTGTAGATAACAGAGGGAAGGCCCTCAGCCTCAAGGATGATCCAAAAAGCCTTCTTGAAGGAGATGGTGTTTTTGCTGAAATCTGAGGGAAGCCAGGGAAGCCTGGGGAGAGAGGGAATTCATGTTCTAGATAAGAACATGAAATATCTTGTTGTGATGGGGGCAGGGGCCCAAGCCAAGATCTTCACCCCTTGACCCAAAAGGAATCTGGCTCCCATTTGTCTACAGGCCCCAGCTCCTCATCTCCCTTTGAAAGCCTTAGCCCTACCGTTTGATCTTATTCAGATGCACCTTCACCCCTTGCCCTAAAAAGAATCTGGCTCCCATTTGTCTACAGAACCCAGAAAACCCTTAACCTTTCAGGTTCCTTATTGAGTCTTCTTATCTCCCGTTGAAAGCCTTAGCCCCATCTTTTGACCTTACTCAGATGCCTTCCAGTTCCCTGCATTACAGGCCCCATAAAACACTTCCAGTTCCCTCCATTATCTATTCCCATTGTCTATTCAATCTCTCAGATCTCCCAATCGGAATTCCTACCTAGACCCTTTTCCCAGCCCCCTTCTCTGGCCACCCAAAGGTACTTCAATGTATAAAAATTCTACCCTGGCCCCATTCAGACGCTGAGAATCTCATGCCCAAAAGGCTGAGACTTTCTCATGCCCCCTTGTCCTTACGGGCATCACCTGGCCTAAGTGTTTTATCACTAATAAACTTTTCCTCTGGCTGGAAGAAGATTTGAGTTGAAATCATTCAGGCAGTGCCCGGCGTCGTGATCTCAGGTGTTCCCCCAGGAGCACCCCAAAGTTCTTGACCTCCTCAATTGGAAAAAAACTGGCCTGGAAAAAAAAGATTAAAGAGACATGATAAAGATTTGTTGGACTACCTGAAAGCCATGATCAAAAAAAGAGTCAGGACACCATACTTCAATAAATTATTAAAGAAAATTGCTTCAGGTTTTGGAACTAGAGGGTAAAATAGAAATTGAAAAGATTCATCAATCACCACCTGAAAGAGATGGAAAATCAAGGTTCATGGGAACTTTACAGCTAAGTTTCAAAGCTCCCAGGTCAAGGAGAAAATATTATAAGCAAGTAGAAAGAAACAATTCAAATATTGTGAAGCTGCAGTCAGAATAATACAAGACTTAGCAGCTTCTACATTAAAAGACTGAAAGGCATGAAATACTATTCCAAAGAGCAAAGGAGCTGAGTTTGCAAAACCTACCTCAGTTACTTGAATTTGTCTTTTTCTAATAGTGATCTGGAGTATTTGTTTTCAAATGTCATTAATAGTTTGGATTTTTCCCTTTGAAAATATAATAAACATTTATTAAGCATTGGACTAAGCCCTGGGGACACAAATAAGAGACAGTCTCTGCCCTCAAGGAATTTACAATTGCATGGGGAGAGGGCAAAAGAAGCTGGAAGGGTAGGGGCTGAGGAGCTGCGCTGGGCTGGGGATGGAGACATCACGTTCTGTGGAGTTCAAAACAAACAGTGGTGCTGAGGCAAAACTGCCTGTTCATATGCTATTGGAATGGATCTTGTTCTTATATGAATCAGTTCCTTATTTATCTTGGAAGGGAGACCTTTGTCAGAAAAACTTTCTGCAAAGATTTTTCTCCAGCTTAACTATTTTGCCTCCAATTTTCACTACACTGATTTGTTTGCAAAACCTTTTTAATTTTATGTAAGCAATTTTTTTCTTCTATAATATTCTCTGTCCCTTATTTGGTCATGAACTCTTCCCCAACCATTTATCTCAAAGCTAATTTCTTCCTTGTTCTAATTTATTTATGATGTGACCTTTTACAGCTAAGTTTTGTTTTGTTTTGGTTGTCTTTTTTTAAGGAATCCAGACATGCATTTTATTATACTAAGGTGAGTGCTTTGCGTGACAAGAAGCTGCGGTCATTTGGGATAAGTGACTTTGTGAAGTTGAATTAAAAAAAAGATACAAGACATAAAGAAATTCACAAGTAGTAATGAAGCTTTTATCCACTATACGTTTGAAGTTTACCTTGGTATCTCCAGCTTTGCCCACGGCTTTGCCTGCTGTCTTTGTAAGTTTTTCCACACCTCTACAGTTGAGTACTGCTTTCAGTTCTGGACACCCCGTATTCGGATAAGTACGGCTAAACCGGTGAGCATACAAAGGATATAAGGGAGCCTGGAGCACGTCATATGAGGACAGGGTGAAGTGACTGGGGTGGCTCTGAAGGCAGGAGACTTCAGCTCTCTCCCGCTTAGCACACCTAGGTGTCACCTCCTTCCCATCCCATTTGATGACATCATAGAAAGAAGACAGGCCAGAATCTCCCCCTCCACCAGGATTCGTTGGCTTCTACTACGTGCTAGGCGGTGGGATCAGGGCAAAATGAACCAAACAATCCCTCCTTGCAGCACCGAGCTGATGTTCTAAGGAGGGACACAGCAGATACACACAAAAATATAAAGTGAACAAGTGGTAATGTACTAGACCAAGTAAAAAGGCGTGTTTGTGTCTTGCCTTCCCAAACCCCTCCTCTCCATCAGTGAAGATACTGCTCCGTGCTTCTCTTTTTCCCAAACTCCAAAAGAAACGAGCCACACTTCGTCCTCCTTCTCAAGGCTTGGGTCTGGCTTTTTGCATCCCAGGGCTCAGACCGCTTTGGGGCTCCTTTCCTCCTGCCAATCACTGTCTTTACGGCTACGTGCCGCTACAGTAAAATGGCAGCTTTTTGAGGGCCCCCTTTGTTTTCGTTTTCCTTGGCCTGGCGTATAGCAGGAACTTAGCTCTTTTCTGAGGTTCCACCCAACTCCGAGAATTTGTGACTCTTACTCCGGAACAGAGGAGGGAGAGCAGACTGGAGAGGGGAGAGGGAGTGGACGGGCGGGCAGGGGAGGGATCGTCAGCCCTCCAAAGGGGCGCCTGCTCGGTGACGGAGCGTGCCCCTCTCCATTCTGAGCCCTTGTCTGGGCAAAGCCAAGCGCTGAACTCCGATCGCCCAGCCCTAGGCTCAGCTCAAGCTCTCGCCATGGTCCTTAACTTGTACCTGAATCTGTACTCCTCCTCCTGCCGCTCGCTCTACATCTTCGCCAAGCTGCACGTCATCTCCTTCGACATGATACCTGTGGACTTGATGAAAGGTCAGAGCCCCGGAGAGCCCAGGGAGCACCTGGTCTAGAACCAGCTGGCCGAGTAGGGATAGTCTAAGGGGGTGGGATGGGGTGAATAGGGGTTGGGAGGCACTGCCAGGACCTGGAGTTCGGAATCAGTCTAGAACCCATCAGCGGAGAAAGGCCATCCTAGGACCAGCAATGGCGAGGAACAGGGGTAGAGCTTACAAGAGGAAGGGGTCCTTCATCCTAGAACCCACAATGGAGGGGACTAGTCTAGAATTCGGAGAGGACCCATAATAGGAGGGCCCAGCAGAGAGTCTAGTTGGGGAAAGGACCAGTTTAAAATTCCACTGAACAAAACTAAAATTTTCCAGGCAGCTTAAGGGCTTGGTGAAGGATCAGAGCCTTCTGGTTAGAAGGTCTCTCTGAGGCCACTTAGCCCAATGACTTCATTTCACTGATAAGGAAACTGATCAGAAGAGTTTAAGAAAATCGCCTTACAAGTCATACAAGAGCCTAGATTTGAACCCAGGTCCTTGTACTCCACATCTATAAAGGGGGGAATGAAGGAGAAAGCAGTGTGCAGTATTATGCTGTCATTCTACACCCCTATTAACCTCATACTTCCTCTTCTCCCCCAAGCCCCACAGGACTTGGCCTTCAGTCTCTGATGTCCCCAAAGGGAACACCTCCTCAGCTAGAAAGTTCAGGTTTTCTCTCTCCTCCCCAGAAGTCTCTGGACACTCCTCACCACCATTCCCCTGCATTTCTGAGAAATTTCAGGCTGGAATACCAAAGGATTCTTTGTAATTCAACAAACATTTATTAAGCATCTATGATGTGACAGGCTCTGCCTAAGCTCCTTGAGGGCCTGTCTTAATCTTTTTTTTTTTTGAGGAGGGGGCCAGTCTCTGTTGCTCCAGTGCTTAGCACAGCCAAGGCACTGAGCTTAATAAATATTTAATTGATTGATTAATGTAAATGCAAAATAAATAACCAGAGAAAAGGAGTGGCAGGACTCCCTAGCCATTCCAGAAGATGAGTGAGGCTCTCAGCCTTCGGCTCCGGGTTCTACTTTCCCATCAGTCCAACTGAGGCCTCAGCCTCTCCCTAAAGACCTCACGGAGCCCAAGATGGAACAATGGTAACCATAGGTGTCTGAGGTGTACCATTAGCTGTCACAGAGAGTTCAGGAGAGGAAGCTGCACCTCTGAGAAGGTGCCAACCTGGCATCTCACTCTTTACGTGACATGTCTCATGTGGATTCCCTGACAAAAGGAGAGGGAAGAAAGAACCTCTCAAACAGAATAATGAACTCACTGACACTTTAAGATTTCCTCTGGCCCCCACTGCCGGAGGTTAGGTGGGTTCCATTTCTCCCCTCCCCTATGGTTCTCCAATAACCTTAAGGGATTTGGGAAGAGAGGCTAGGCTGTCATGGCTCTAGCTCCCATTTGCAATTGGAGAAACTGTGTTCCAATTTCCAGGGTCCCCTGTGCTAATGTTCCATTTCACCAGTAACAGTTGATTAGCTTTTACAAAGGAATATCTACTTCAAAGATGAGAGCAAGAAGAAATATATAAACATCCTCTTCACCAATGCCTGGGGGAGGGACATAATTGCCACCTGGCCTCAGTCTCTGGAGAGAGGAGGACTTTAGGTTCACATTTTAGCTCAGTTTCTATGGACCACAGTCCCAAGTTCCAAGTCCCAAGTGCCCTGGGACTGACTGACTCCACCATTTAGACTGAGATCCTGTCTCCAAGGTCTCCCTGGCTCCCCAAGTCCAGTAGGAATTCTGATGTCTGTATCTAGAATCACAAAGGACAAGCCAAAACACAATCCTCAGCCTGATGCTCTGGGCCATAAGGCAGAGAAGAAGGGAGGAAGGGAAAGTAGCCCTTCCCCCTACTCAGTCCCTTTATGGCACCCAGCTCTCAGGGAGCCCTCACCCTCCAGGATGCTGCTGGAAAGAGAATACATGTCCCGGGATGGCGGTTCTTAAAGATTCAGTTCTGAATATGCAGCTGCCATCTGTGTGACAGAGCAGCTCCAAGTTAGGTTAGATGACATGGGCATATGCCAAAGTCCCCTTTACATATGCAGAGCTTCATCTCCTGTCTCCCCAGGCTGTCCCCCAGGCCTTGAACACTCTCCTTCCTCTTCTCTGCCTCTCAGAACCGTAAAAATTCAGGGCTCAGCCCCCAGCTGCTTAGTGCCCTCCATCTTGATGTGTGTGTGTGTGTGTCATACAGGCTTTATTTTTTAAGTCTGTGAACACGTGATCCTCCTAACGGAATGTCTGCTCCTTGAAGGTAGGGACCATTTCCATTTTGGTCTGCATGTTCCCAGTGCCCAGCACAGTGCCTGTCCCAAAAGAAGCAGTTAATGAGTGCTTGTGAATGAACAACTGCCCTTTGAGGGTCTTATTAGTCCCTTTTTACACATGAGGAAACCGAGGCACAGGGGAAATCCTCACCTTGGCCAAGGTGATATAGGAGTAAGTGTCAGAGCCAGGATAGGAACCCAGGTTTCTCCTGACTCCAAGCCAACCAAACATGTGGTACCCCAGAGTCTGCAAAGAGTTTTCTCTCACACCAAGGCTTCAAGGTGAGTTGTCTAAGTGTCTGATTCCCAATCAGAAGATGAGGAAATTTGGAGTCAGAGAAAGGAAGTGACTTGACCACAATCACCCCAATTAACTGCTGGCCCTAGAATTCACACCCAAGTCTGCTTGCAGGACTTCTGTCCTTTCCATTGCATTGAAAAATGTGTGCTCACATAGGGACTTTCCTTGAAGGCCTGTCTACCCCCAACCCTCCAAGCCTGGCCTTCCCCTGTGGAAGCTCTGGGGAAAGGCAAGGCCTGGACATTGTGGGAGAGGCAGGTCTGGGCTGGTTCCAGTTCCCCTCCTATTCAGGACCCTGTATTGCCTCCTCTTTCTCAGCTGAGCACCACAGTAAAGAGTTTGTCCAGATAAGCCCGCTAATGAAGGTGCCAGTCATGAAGGATGAAGACTTCGTCTTGGGAGAAAGGTAACCCCAGGCCAGGAAAGCCTGGCATTGGAGGCAGCTGCTGCTGCTGCTCCTGTACCGGCCTGGCTGCCATGCTCTGGTCCCTGCCAGAAGGAATGGTCATGGGAGTCTGAGGAAGACATGACTTAGAGGGGGCATGAGAACCCTCTCCAAGCTTTCCTGTAGATCAGGAATCAGACCAACTTGGTCCTGGAAGGCAGCGCCAGGAGCAGTGAGGAGAAGCCCACTAAATCTGGGGGTCAGGGATGGCTTCTTAACTGTGAGAGTTGTCCCAGAGTGGAATGGGCCTCCTCCAAAGGTGGTGGGCTCCCCCCTACCCCAGAAGTCTTCAAGCTGGACTCCATAGTCACTCTGCATTTGTTCATTAAGATGCTACCTTTTCTCCTTCCCTTCTCTCCCACACACCACCCCTGAGAAATCAAGAAAAACAAAATCCCTGTTTCACACATGTGTGGTCAAACACAACAAATTCCCACATTGGTCATGTCTATACAAAGTAATGCCTCAATCCACACTCAAGTCTGTCATCTCTCTATCAGAAGGTGACAGCATGTTTCATCAGAAGTCCTCTGAAATGACGTGGTGGACAAATCCTTCTACTCACAGACTGGCTCACCTCCTCCTCTGAGCTCCCAAAGCAGTCAGTAGACCTTATAGTCAGTCAATATGTTAACTAGCATTTCTTACGCACCTGCTGTGTGCTAGGCACTATATCAAACACTAGGAATACAAAGGCAAACATAGTCATAGTCACACCCTCCAGGAGCTCCCGGTCTGATGGAGGAAATAGAAACTACTGTGTGTATATGACATCTGAAGTGTAAACAGGACAGGAAACATGCATTCCAAGGGGACAGCACTTTGTAAATGGGAATGTATCTGACCCTGTGGACCATGAGCTCACCGAAGACAGGGAATGGGTCTTCTCCAGGCTTGTGCCACCCACCCTTGAGCTCAGGTGTGGCTCAGGGCAGACAGGGCTCTAGAGAGAGGCTCTGGCTAGGCAGATAGGAAGGAGCAAAGTGCCAGATTACTGTGTGACCTTGGGCGGCTTGCTCATCCTCTCTGGACTCAGCTTCCTCATCTATAAAATGAAAGTGGGGTTGGATTAGGTAAACTCTAAGGCTCTTCCAGCTCTAAGATCCTGTGTCCCCTATCTCTAATTTAACTGGACAGTTTTTTACTAAATGCCAACAAAGTTCAAATTCAGGTGCAAAGTTATAAGTCTATAGAAATATAAGATACAGTCCCTGCCTTCAAAGATCTTCCAGTCTAATAAAGGGGACAAGACTCTCACACATCACAGAACACCAGCTTTGGAGGGACCTGCAAGGCATCTAGTCCCATGTATACCTGAAGAGAAAACCCTCCTATCCCATATTCAGAATCTGGTCACCCAGTTTTTCTTTTAAAATCTCCAGCAATGGGTGAGCCACCACTTCTCAAGGCAAAGCCATTCCGTTCTGAGACAGCACACATTGTCAGGAAGCATTCACTGGCAGGGAGATGAAGCTGGCCACTCTGGAACCTCCTGCCTCTCCTGGTTCAGACCTTGGGGCCCCAGAAGAAGAAGGCAAATCCCTTCTTTACTGAAGGGAGTTAGCTCCTGGCCCCCCTTCTCTTCTCCAACCCAAACTCTCCCAATTCTTTCAACTGATCCCCCTGGGACATGGTCTTGTGGCCTGTTACCTTTCTGTTTACCCTCCTCTGGCCTCTCCAAATTATCAATGGAACATGACAAGTTAACCAATATTAGAGAGCAGTATGTGCTCTGTCCACATGAGAAATGCAGACAATAAGAGCTATGTAGAGTGCATGTAACAGAGAGCCTAGTGGGGACTGTCAGAGCTAAAGAAGGCTTGAGAAGGAAGAAAAGAGGGAGGAGTGGAAAGGGAAGGAAGGCAAGAAGGAAGGAAGGGAGGGAGGGAGAGAAAGAGGGAAGGAAGTCTTCAGCTGGGTCACAGAACATCAGATAATATTAACAATTGATCTTTATATGGTGCTTTAGGTTTTGAAAAGTGCTTTTCATGATTCTCTTCTGTGTTCCCCACATCCCTGAGAGAAAAGTTCCTACACGTACTATTATCCCACTTTTACAGATGAGAAAATAGGGAGGTTCAATGAGGAGTCCATAGCCACACAGCTGTCACCAAAGCTAGAATCTGATCTGAGGTCTTTCTGCCTCCCAGTCCAGCGCTGGCTCTTCCAATGACAGGACACTGCTGCTCTTCTAGAGATGCCTATTGTTAGCTAAAACCTTCCCTACTGATCAGCACTGTCTCCAAGGTGAAGGGGCCACCTCAGGAGGTGGCAGGTCCTCCTGATTGGATGTCTTCATAGGATGACAGCGAGTACACTTGGGAGGACTCCTTGGGGGTGGGGGCTACTGTAAGTGGCTACTGTAGTTCTTTCCAACTTTCTGATTTGGGGACTCTGAAATTTGGGGACCTCAGATGAAAAGCTCAGGTCTCCTGAAACCCTTGCCAGGGCTTTTCCCCTCTTGTCCTCTGCCCCCTGAGGATGGCAGGAGGAAGGAGTAGGAAGCTCCTGGTTTTTCAGAAACCCCAGGATGGAGTCCTAGTCAGGAAGGAGGTATCTGTCTTGGGAAGCTGGCTCCTGGGTTGGGATCATGGCCTTGACTCCACTTTGGCCCCTTCTGACCTAAGCAAGTGAGGGCTAGAGGGGCAAGGGGCTATCTGCTCAAGCCTTTAGATCCAGGGAACAGGTGGGGGCCCTGAGGGGAAGTGAGAATGGAGAAAGTGCCCTGAAGCAGCCACTCTGGCTTCCTCCTTCCCACAGTGTAGCCATCATGCTTTACCTGTGCCGACGATTCAAGACCCCAGACCACTGGTACCCGGATGATGCTAAGGGCTGTGCCCTCGTGGATGAGTACCTTGCCTGGCAACACCTGAACATGAAAAAGCATTGCACCAAAGTCTTGTGGATGAAGGTGGATGCAGCAGGGACACTCAGAACCACAAGCCCAGTAACAGCCTCCTGCTTCTGGCTTCCACTTCATGATTTTATCTTATCTATTATCCCCAAACAGCCCTGGACAAGCTCAGACAGAGTCCTTAGAATGCAAGCCCCCTGAGGGCAAGGACTGCATCTTTTTCTTGTCCTTATTTCCCAACATTTAGCACAGTGCCTGGCACAGAGTAAGTGCTAGTAGATGCCTATTGATTCATTGGTTGGTTGGCAGGAGAGGGATGAATGAGTTGCCCATCACTGAAGGTATTTAAGTAGGTGCTAATTGACCTCTTCCGGGAAGTCAAATTTCTGAGTTGGGTGGAGGTTGGCCCCAGCCAGCTCCACTTTGATCCAATAAATGTCTATTAAGCACCTATATTGTGGAAACTTTTGTTATTAGTTAATGGAGATACCAAGATAAAAAAAAAATGACCCAGGACTTGCTCTCAAGGATCCAACAATCTATGGGGAGAAGATGAGCCATGCACTTCTCAGGAGGATATATGGCAGCATTGGGAGAGGCCCAAGAGAGTTACCCTTGTTCTAGGCACATTTGAGGAGGAAGAGAATGTTCGATAGTGGTCTGGGGGAAGGGGAGATCAGGAAAGGCTTCATGAAGGAGTAACATTTCAGTAGGGCTCAGGAGAAAGAGTGAGGTAGCCCTTCAAAAACATGGTGGAAGGCACATTCCAGGAAGGAGGTGGGAGCCAAGAGCAAGGTTTGTAGAGAACATGAAGGTGTCAGGAATGTCCCTGTAGGAGCCTGCCTCCCTCCTAGTTCATCTGTTCCCTTTGAGGAAGGTATGCTCTAATGTTGCCATATTCTTCAAGTGAGTCAGATCCCACCAAGTCTCCATTAACTGAGGTCAAAAGTGCCTATTATGTACCAGGCACTATGCTATGTGCTGGGGATACAAAAAGAGGCAAAAGGTAGTCCCTACCCTCAAAGAGCTTAGAGTTTAAATGGAGAAGACAACAAGCCAAAAAAAAATGTACAAACAAGATGTCTAGAGGACAAACAGGAAATAGTTAACAGAGGGAAAGCACCAGAATAAAGGGGAAGGCTTCCCGTAGGCTTCCCATAGAAGGGGCTGGGGGTGTCCAGTCTGGAGAAGAGAAGGCTGAAGGGGAACAATGGTCCCTAGAGGAGAGCACATGAACCGCAGTCACACGGCACCCGCCTAATTCTTCCTCGCCCTAGAAGGCAGCGCTAGGAGCTGTGGTTGAAAGTGGCTAAAAGACCAAAGGCTCAAGGTCAGGAAGGCCTTCAGGCGGCGGGCTCCTCCCCCAGGAAGTCTTCAGCAGAAGGCAGAGGGCCCCGCCTTTGGGGCGTGAGTTAGACAAGTAGCTCTCAACATCTTCGACTCTGCATAGCTCAATTTGCCTAATTCAGTTCAACTCAAGGCACCTTTACTGAGTGTCCACTTCACGCAGAACACAGAACAAGTTCATAGGGAGGCAGAGAGCACAGAGGTCTTGACAAAGCTCAGTCTAGAGAGGGTAAATCGAGGACTTCGGAGCCTGGGATGAGGGCATCAGAGTGGTGCAAGCAGAGCATCATGGGAGGTTCCCAGAGGGAATGGACATTCCAAAGGGGAAAAAGAGGAAGGATGCTTTTGCAGATGGCCTTGAAAGGGCCCCAAGAGGGCATTCCCGGAAGGGGCCATCAGGTGCTCAAAAGCATGATCAGGAGTGACTCTTCTCTATCCCTGACTCAATCTGGGCTGCCTCTCACCCACTCCCCCTTGTCCATAACTTTGGGTGATCTGTGACTGCTGCCTCCCTCCCCTCTCATTGTCTATTGGTTTTCAAGAGCTGCCCCTGCCTCTCTACCCATTTCAGTCCCACCCCTTCCTCTCTGCACCTACCACAATCCATCAATCAGGTGCCTCGTTTATGACTCTTCTGGACTCTCCTCTCCCACCTCCAGACCATTCTCCATCCCCACGGCAGATGACCGTGCAGATCTGGTCCCACACTTTCCTGTCCCCAAATCTTTAGGGGCTCCTTCTGTTCTCCCGTTTGAGTCCGACTCTGTATTTGGCCTCTCTACATCTGAGGACCTCCACAGCCTGAGCTACCCCCTCTTTACTACTGCTCCCCTTCCAGCCAAACTGGAAACCTGTCTGCCCACATTGCCGCATCTGCAGGCCTTCCTCCAGGATGTCCCATCCTCCTGGAATTATCTTCTGCCTTCTCTTCATCTGTTAAGTTCCTATCCATCTTTAAAGCCTAGCACACATGCTACTCACTGTCTGACTTCTCCAGCAGAGATGGAAGGGGTCTGGGGACCTTGTTGTCGGGTCCCTTGCTGAGTCCCCTGACCCTCTGTGGGAGGACCTCCAGGACAGGAAATGCACCGTCTCCCTCTAATCGGCACTAAACGCTCTTCACAGCCTCCCCCTTCGCCACCATTCCAGCCTTCTTGCACTCACATCCCACCGTGCACGATGCGATGCATGCTCTTCTTCAGCCTCGATGCTCCATCTCCCACCTCCAGGCTTTTGCTTTAACCATCCCCCACATCTGTAACACTCTCCCTCCTCACTTCCACCTCTTCAAATCCCTGACTTGCTTCAAAGATTTGGGGGTAGGATGAGTCTGGGGTAGGGGATGGATACCCCACAACCATCCCAAATGCTTACCCTCCAAGGCAACACCATTGGTTTTGATGCAGATGAAGAGGATGCTCCCAGGTACCCAGGCAGCCTGGCCTGACACTGCCCTGGACTGCCCAGAGGCTCCCACCCCACCCCACCCCCACCTTGATCCATCAGTCAGTAGCTATTACACAGGGAATCTGGGCTGAACAGCCCCTGCGCCCCCCCCCCCATGTAACAACATCATTTAGAACTTCCTGGCATCCCCAGCTTCCTCCTGTCAGAGCTTTCCCAGACCCTCCTCGTTGGGACTGTCTTCTCTCTGAATAGCTACAGGTTATCTCATAGGTGTTTGTATATGGTGTTGGCAGCTGGGAGCTCTGTGAGAGCAGGGGCTGCCACTCCTCTGGGTTCCCAGGACTTAGCCCAGTGCCTGGTATACAGCCAGCACCTAATAAGCACTTGTCCACTGTGAACTCATTGACTGACAGAAGTCAAGAATCAAGGAACTTCAGGAGATGCCTGGTCTAGACCATGGCTGAGCAGCAAGCCTGGCTCTCAGGCATCTGCTGGAAGACTTCCGGGGAAGCGGAGCTACACGTGCACAGTGCACATGTGTGTACACATGCACATGCATGCACACATGCACAGACACATGCAAACATACCCACACATGCATGTGCACAAACACATACAAACTTCCTCACATAAACACCGATACACTGATATAGACACACACATGCACACACACAGACACACAAACTCACAAACACTCACAGACACATACACGCACACACACACTTCTCTCAGGGGAGCCTTTCCCACACTAGGTAGGCCAGCTCTCATTTTTAGGCACCTTTCCCTTCTTACAGCTGCCCCCACCCACCCTGATCCTGCCCTCTGGGGCCAAGCAGACCCCTGTAACCCCTTTTCTAGGTGACAGCCCTTTGAATGCCTCTAGGCAGCTCTCTTGCTTTCCCTGCCCTCTCCCCTCCCAGCCGCACTCCCCTGACTCCTCCAACTGATCCTTATGTGTCAGGGGCTAAAGGCCCTTCCTAACACTTGACCGGTGTCTGCCCTGACCAGGCACGTCCTGCTCCAGATGATGTGTGGTCAGGGTGAAGGATGAGAACTCTCCTTTTCCTAATCGTAGAACTCAAAGGGCACTTCCTTCAGGAAGACCTCCCAGATTTCCCTCAGCTCTTTGCCCCGCATTAGTGCCTTCTAACTCTGTCTCCCCCCTTTTGCATCTTTACTGCTCAGTGAGGGCAGAGATAGTCTCAGTTCAGTGCTCTGCACATGGCACGTGCTTAATAAACCAATGTGTGTGGATGTTAACAAGCAAGCCTGTGGTCCCTGATCAACCCAGCCACAGCCGACTGGGGAGCCCCAGAGGATACATGTGAGGAAGAGCCTTGACAGCGAGTGCGGGGCAACTCAGGGAAGCCTCGGACCCCATTCCCCCCTAGAATAGAGCAGGCAGGTTGTGAGGGAGGGTGGAGAAGCCTGGGCATAAGGAAGATCAGCAGGCTGGGATCTGGATCCGACTGCGCTACTGTTCATCTTGCGGCTTGGGTCCTCCAGGACCTGATCTTCCCTAAGCTGCCATTGGCTCTTCCACGACTCCCGACTGGCCCTCCCCCACGCACAGCCCCGTGGCCATGGGGGAGCAAGGCACACTTAGAGCCACTGCCTTGCTGAGTCCCCCGGTCCAGGCTGGGAGCCCGCAGAAGGCAGATCCCACCTTTCCCTTCAGAGCAGTACTGCCTTCTTTGCCTGCGAGTGCACCAAACCTCTGCCTCTCTGTCATTCAGATGATGATCCCACACTTCTTCAGACACAGCGTGCCCCACGAGAACCTGGAGGAGGCCACGAAAGACCTGAACCATAGTCTGGACCTGCTGAAGGACAAGTTCCTGAGGGACAAGCCCTTCCTGACGGGGGACAGGATCTCCCTGGCTGATCTGATGGCCCTGGAGGACGTGGTGCAGGTACGCAGGGCCAAGGGCCTGGCATGAGCCGGAGGCAAAGAAAGGGCCCGGGTGCTGGGCATGGAAGCAGGAAGACCCGGATTCAGATCCAGCCTCAGACCATTCCTCACTGGCTGACCCCGGGTCTGCCTCAGCTGCCTCAAATGTGATATTGAGATAACAAAAGCCTCCCAGGATTGTTGTGAGAATCAAATGAGACACACAGCAGGCACTTAATCAATCAGTCCTTCCTTCTTCACTCTTCCCTTCCCATTCAAATGCCCATTCCTTCAAGTCAGCCCTCTGAAAAACAGCCTGATGCACTTATGCACACTAAGGTCTAAAGCATGGGTAAGACAGGGTGAGGCTCACACTGAGACCAGTGGAAAGGGCCATCCTTTGGGGTGCTAGCTGAGCCTCACTCCACCTGAGTTCAGTCAAGTTAACCAACATCGATTACTTGCCCATGACATGCCAAGCCTTCTGCTAAGCTCCAGGGATAAAAACATGAGTCCTGCCCTCAAGGAGCTCACAGACTAAAGGGGGCTATCAATAGGATAAGTAGGAAAAGCCAACAGAGGGAAAGCCCTAGCATTTGGAGTTGGGGGGAGTATGGGGATTGGAAGAGGCTTCTTGCTGAAGGTGGGATATTAGCAGAGATTTGAAGGAAACCAGAAAGGGGAGAAGAGAGAAAGAATTCCAGGCACAGGGGATAGCCCATGAAAATGCCAGAGTCAGGAGATGCAATATCTCATGTGAGGAATAGCCATGACGCTAGTGTCACTGGATTACTGAGTGTGTTCAGCTGGGTCATTTACTACAGGAACTTGGGTAAGACATTTCATTTCCTCAAGCCTCAGTTTCTCTATTTGTAAAACATTGGCTCTTCTAGCTCTACATGTATGAGTTTATGAAGCCAAAGGAATGACTCTCTAAGAGAGGAATTCCTGGAAATGTGGCAGATGAACAGAAGAGAGTTACATTTCTAGTGTTCACACTACAGCATGAGCTCCGTGGGGCAGGTAGGTCCTGGTCTCGTTTCTTGTAGGCCCCTAGATGTTGAGGGCCTGGAGTTAGAAGCCCAGCTCAGCCACTCACTACCCTAGTGACGTCGGGGAAGACTTCATTTTTCTCATGTGTGGAATGAGGCCATTGGAGCAGGGGTCTTTTTTAGCCCTAAATCGATGATTCTATTTTTTATGCTTTAATTTTTTTCCTTTAATTCTTTTTATTTATTTTAAGCATTGTTTTTTAAAATATTGAGTTCCAAATTCTCTCCCTCCCTCTCACCCCTTCCCTCACCCATTGAGAAAACAATATGTCAATTATACATATGAAGTCATGCAAAACATATTTCCACATTAGCTGTGTTGCCCAAAAAATGCACAAAAAGCAATAAATATAAAGAAAGTGGAAAAAATTGTGCTTCGATCTGCACTCAGATGTCATCAGTTTTCTCTCTCTGGAGGTGAGAGCATTTTTCATCATGTGTCCTATGGAACTGTCTTGGATCACATTTTGACCACAGCAGGTAAGTCATTCCCAGTTGATCATTGCTACAATGTTGCTGTTACTGTGTACAGTGTTCTCCTGGTTCTGCTCATTTCACTTTGCATCAGTTCACATGAGTCTGCCCACATTTTTCAGAAATCACCATTTCTTACAGCACAGTGACATTTCATCACATTCACATGACACAGCTTGTTCAGCTGTTTCCCAACTGACAGGCATCCCCTCAGTTTCTAGCACCTACAATGTACCAGGTGCTATGCCAAGCCCTTTATAAATATGATCTCATTGGATCCTCACAACAACACTGAGGAAACTGAGGCAAACAAGTGAAGTGATTTGCCCAGAGTTACCTCCCTAGGAAGTACCTGAGGCTGGATTTGGACTCAGGGCTTCCAAGACTCCAGGCCCAGCTCTGGAGGCCTCATCTCCACTTAGGGATTCTAAGGGAGAGTGTTCCATATGTGGATTGCCAGGACAGAGATCAGGGCTGGAGTATCCATGTGAGAAGCAGCAAGCCAAGCTAACAAGAAGACTGGAGAGGTAGCAAGGGGAAGGTTAGGAAGGACTTTGATCTTGGTGGTCATAGGGGACCACTAGCATTTGCTGCAGGGGGAAGGGGTGGATGTAGGTAGGCTTGCACTTTAGGGAAGTCAGTTTGACAGCTGTGTAGAAATAGACTGGAATGCAGAGACAGAAGCTGCTTTAGTAGTCCAGGTGTGAGGCAATAGGACCTGCACCAGGGTGGTCAGAGAAGAGAAAAGAGCACAGACAGAGATGGTGTGAAAGTAGACGTAATTGGGCATAGGGGTTGACAGAGATTAGAGAGTCAAAGATGACACATAGCCTGTGATCCTGAGGGACTGAGAGGATGGGACAAGGGTGCCCCTGACAGGAACTGGGAAGTTAGAAATAAGGGAGAGTTTGGGATGGGGGGAGATGATGAGCTGAGCTAGCTGACCAGCAGAGTTAGATGGTGGCATGGGTACAGGGACAGGCAACGTGGTAAGTTTCTGGAAGATGTCCCCTTTCTTGGCTCCCTGGACCCAGCTAAAGCCATGAGATGACAGCAGAACTGAGACCTGCCCCAAATTCTCAAGCAGCTGCACATCCCTATGCTTGACCCTGTTTTGCTTTGTATGTCCACAGGCCATCAGTGCTGATTACAATGTCTTTGAGAACCGGCCCTGGCTAAGAGAGTGGCAGGAAAAGGTAGAGTCCATCTTGGGCCAGGAGCTTTGTGATGAGGTCCATGGGCCTATCCTGAAGCTCAAGGAGGCACCCGCCATAAGCTCTGAGATGCTGAATAAATTCAATGTAATGAAGAGCGAGCTGCTGTGAGCTGAGGGAGAGCTGACTCCCACTTCACAGGCTGGCCACACACTAGGCAGCCATGTGGAAGCACTGAAAAACACAGACAGTCCATCTAGCCTCTTAATAAAGAAGGATGATCTATTCAGAAAGCATCCCCCTGATCTATTAGCTTAGAAATCCTGTCCAAAAAAGGAAATGAGGCATGATCTGTTCCTGCTGAAGCCACGGGGCTCTGTGTGATCACTGCTTCCCTTTCTAAATACTCATACACCATCCTTTTAATAATGTTCTAGAATTTTGCCAGATAGTAGAAGTCAGAGTGGTTGGTCCAGAGTTTGCAAACTCTGTTCTCTTGCCTGTTTAGAAAACCAGGACAACAGGGGCTGCTCTCCAGTCCATGCAGGCTCTCTCCTATAATCAAGAATCAGAGCTCCCTGACTATAAAGCAGCCTTCACATTTGCTACCTCCTTCCATACTGGAGAGCAGGTGGGTGCTTTCTGACTCTCCCTTTTCTTATCTTGGCCTCACTTCATGTCTACCTGGGCTTCTTGGGGGCTGTCTCGTCCTGTCTTGTGCTGTCCAAAGAAATTCCTCAGCCTTCTTCACCAACCCAAATTGGAACTGATCTGCTGTACCCCTGTCCCCATCATCAGTTACTGTCGTCTCATCTACCCTAAGCAGCCACCCCATCCTTTCTTTGACACTCCTACTACCCCCCCATGTAACACTATTAATGCCCCTTTTATTTTCAGCTTCCCTTTCTACTCTCAAACTTATTTTGAATGAATGAATTTATCATGTACTATACCATGTCTCCATGCCAGGTCTTTGGTCTGTTTCCTGAAATACGCATCTATTTTTGCTTCCTAGTTGGCAAGTAATAAGATCAAGGGCATAGGTAGACATTTTCTTTAGTGAAGAAATTCCATGATGAATTCCAGAATTTCTCTGATCATAACCTCTTGTCATTCTGTCTCTAACGATGTCTTATGCCTTTAACTCTGCAAAGCTCCTCATGCCCCACCAGCTGTACTCATTTCCAACCTGTCTTCTCCACCACGCCTCTATAGCCCTAAATTCATCACTGGGAGATCTCATCATCTTCCAAGATCCAACAAGACCTGGTACTTGATAGGACAGGTCTCTTCAGACACCTCACACTCTCCCATCTGGCTGTCCTCATTTTGGCTTCTCCATGCCAAGTACATTCCCCTTCCCCTTCTCATCTTTCTTCTCCGTGTTGTCTTCCTCCCCATTAAATTGGAAGCTCTTTGAGGGCAGGGACTATCCTTCTTTTCTTATATTTATATCTCTAGCACTTAGCACAGTACCTGACACATAGTAGGTGCTTAATGTTTACTAGGACTCTGACTCTTCCTGAACCTATTCTTCCCCTTCACCACGACTTAAAATCCATCCATTGTATTCTCCAAGGCCATCACCCTTGCTCTGGTTTCACTTTCCTCTTTCCAATTTTGACCTTTTACTTAACCAGCGGAATTCTACAGTTGCTCTACTCTCGAATTCCCATGTCCTGATGTCACTCACATTCTACCAGTCCCTGACCCTTGATTACATTCAACGTCCACATCCTCACCTTCTACTTACCTTGTGTTGAATTGAAGGGGATGGCTTAGGGATGGGTCTAAGAAAGTAGGCTCCTATGGCAACACCATAATATTGTGTAAGAGGACTGAAAAATAGGAAGAGGCCAAGTGATGAGGAGCTTTAAGTGCCAAACATGGGAGTTCGTACGGTGCATGCACAGACCCCGCCAGCTTGCTCAGCTGATGCAAACTCTCCACATGGAAGATGATGAGAAGACGGCGTCCATGAAAAACATGACGTTCTGTAAGAGAAATGACTGGGAAACACCAGGTAACTGGTGGCAGTCGGCTGACCATGTGCTCGGGAGAAGCCTTTTTCCATTGGCTACAGATAAAAGCGATTGCATCTTCAATGACAATGGATAGCATTTATATGTCATGCTTTTTTGCTGTTGTTCAGTCATTTTCAGTCACGTCTAACCCTATTTGGGGTTTTCTTGGCAAAGATAATGGAGTGGTTTGCTATTTCCTTCTCATTTTACAGATGAGGAACTAAGGCAGAGTTAAGTGACTTGCCTAGGGTCAGGAAGATGAGTCTTCCTGACTTCTGGCCCGACACTCTACCCATGCACCACCTAGTGCTTTAACTCTTGCTAACTGTAGTGCCTGTCTCTGCTAATTACTTCCTATTTTTCCTGTTTATAGCTTGTCTGCACGTGTCTCCCCCATTTGACCATGAGCTCTGTGGAGGCAGGGGCTGTATTTTGTCTCTTTTTGTATCCCAAGGGCTTGGCACAGTGCCTGGCACACAGAGGAGGCAGGCATTTTGGAAAGACATAGGGCATAGTGAGTCATCAGAAAGTGAGGGTCTAAAGATCCAAGAAGCCACTGTAAGTTTTCTCTTCAATACCAATTCCAAGATGTTCAAAAAGGTGACCCCTTCAGGCGAAACTTTTTCCAGTCAATTCCATTTAAAGCATTTATTAAACACCACGTGCAAAGCATTTTACTGGATCCCAGCAAAAATTATCAAGATTATAAATACATACGCTCTACGATCACAAAGCTTAACACCTAGCAAATGAGTTGGACACATGAAATACAACATAACCCTATGCAGTAGGTACTTCAGGTATGATGATCGCCATTTTACAGAAGATAAAACGTGCTCAGAGGGCTTAGTAACTTGCTCAGGATTACCCTTAAGCGCTGGAGGGAGACGAGCCCCGCTCTCCACTCAAGCATCGATTCCATTATCACTCTGTCTTGGCCTGCTGAGCCACAAGATGTAGGGGCAGAAAGGAGGAAAGAGACCATGAGATATTTGCGACAGTAGAGTTGACAGGACATGGTGACTAATTAGATATGAGAAGTGAGAGACAGTGAAGAGTCAAAAGCAATGGCAGTTTTCCTACATGGGAGAGTGAGGAGATAAGGGTGTGATTAACAGAAATGGTGATACTCATCTTAAGTTCCAAAGACCGTGACTGGACATGGTCATTTGCTTAGAAGTGGAGCCAAAAGCCCTGGGACCAAATAAGATTCCCAAAGGGAAGATTAGAGAGGCAAGGGAAGAGGGATAAGGGCAGAACCTTGGGAAAATCTGTAACTTACGGACTGAGGAAAAAATGGGCCAAAGGAGACAGAGAAGTTAAAAGGTGAATAACTAGCATGGTGTGGAACAGTCCAGAGTGCTAGACTTTGGCTGAAGAGCCCAGACGCAAATCCCAATGTAGACCTGGACTCGTTGGCAGAAGACGGGTACACCTTGTAATCCCCAATAGCTGCAGGTTTACAATCTGCAAGGTGAGACTAATAATGCTTCTATGACCTGCTTCATACACTTACAGTGAGGAAGTATACTGCAAATCTTAGAGGGCTATCCATATAAATGAGTGATTAGATCTAATATGAACCAAAACAGTGTGCAGTATCTTTAGACATGGAAGGAGAATGTACTCAGAAGGAAAGCGTGATTGATGACGTAAAAAACAAACAAACATTGAGCCAAAGGATGATAAAAACTAGGAGGGACAAGGTCACTGTATTTGGCAATTAGGCAATTAGGAGGTCAACAGTGACCTTTAAGAGAGCCATTTTAGTGGACTGGCCTGAAAGACATCAGATTGCAAGGTGCTGCAGTGATAAGGAGCTGGAGGAACTGGGAATAGAGAGCTTTTGCCAGAGGTCTGGAAGTGAAGGGGAGAAGGGAAGGGAGGCGGTAGAGGATCAAAGGCAGGCTTTTTAAAGTACTGGAGCATGTTCCCAGGCAATGCAGAGTGGATCCAGGGAGGAGGATAACTTGAAGATGCAAGCACAAGGGATCACAGCTACAGCAATGACCTAGAGCAGGGAAGAAGGCAAGAAGTCAGGATTCCTCTTGCCCATGACTAAAAGAAGGGAAGCATGACTAATTATGCTAATAATTTTTGAGGACTGCAGTTGAGTAAGAAGCTTACTGAAACCCTTCTCGTATTTGTAACTTTTCTTTTAATAAAGCATTTATTATATACAAAATTTTTGACTAAACTTTGACTGGATTAGTATAGGGAGCCCATAGTGAGAAAGACCCCTTTGACCATACTGGTCATGAACCTCATAGTCTTACCCAGCTGCCTGGAGCACTGAGAAGCTGGGACTTGTCCAGCATCCAGCCAGCAGGCGTCAGAGGCACCGTGCACCATGGTCTTCCAAACTCTGAGGTCAGCTCGCCATCCACTATACCAGTACCCCTACACATTGTCAACAATCTTGAACATCAATACAATTAAACTTGTTTTGCAACTATTTACATTTAAACAAATGGAATTTAACCTACAAAATACCAAAACACCTTTTCAACCCAGCCCTATATGTCTCCATCAGGATTCTTAGTTTTCCATTCATTCTCATTCCTAGCACTGTTCTCCTGGATCTTCATTATACACTCAACATTATCCATATCTCCTTATATTCCTCAGACTTGCCAATCTTAATTGCAGAATAAAATTCCATTACGTTTTTGGACCACAATTTATTCAACCATTAGTAATCAGATGTTTTATGACACACATTCGTGCAGAGAATTGTTGGTATTTCATTATTGTAACAAAGCTCCCTGAAAGGAAGGTAAAATGTACCAATGAAAATGAAGAAAAGATCATTAGATTTGGCAATTAAGAGATCATTGGTAACTTTAGAGAAACCAGTTTCAGTTGAATGATGAAGCTGAATGCCAGAGTACAGAGGGTTTAGAAGCAAGTGAGAGGGGAGGAAATGAAAACGCTGATCGTAGGCAGTGTTCTCAAGGTTAGCCACACGAGGAGAGACGTAGGACAATTTCTATTGGTGATGGTCAGATCAAGTGAGAGTATTTAAATGTGGGGGAGACATGATTATGTTTATAGCCAGTAGGGAAGGAGCCAGTAGATAAAAAGAGATTGAAGAGAGAGTGGAGATGATAGAGAAGGCATTTTGCTGGTGCAGATGGGATAGAATGAGATCAAGGATGCAGATAGAGAGTTCACTAATAATCAAAGATGCAAATACAAACAACATTGAGGCAACATCTTATACTTGTAAAAACCAGCAAAAATAGCTCAAAGCAGGAACTCAATGTGCATGAAAGGGTGAAAAGACAAGTACTCATTCATTAGCAACAGAGCTGCAAATCTATAGGATCTCCTAAGAGAGTGATTTGAAAGTGCACAGGAAAAGTTACATTTACTACATTCTTAAGGCTTATTCTCCAGTATGAATTTTATGGTGTCGACTAAGTGGAGACATAGTGGAGAAACACTATGAATTCTCAGAATGAGAATCACAGAATCTCAGGACTGGAAAGGACCACAGAAGTAATCTAGTTTAGACTATATAGGAACACTAACTCCCCAAACATACCAACAAAATTCTCTTTTAGACCATGCTTAAAGGTATCCAGTGAGGGGTCACCTACTACCTACTAATGGATTGTCTACTAACTGCCATCAAGTTTTCCCTTATCACGTCAAGCCTAAATTTTCTTTTAAAACTTTCCTGACTGCTCTTCTAGGGACAAACAGAACAAACAGAATCCTTCTTCTGTGCCCCAAGACAACTGTTACTTCCCTCCCTCTGTAAGCCTTCTCTTCTCTGACCCAGATATTCCCAGTCTGGAAAAGCTTCACTATCCTCTAATAAGAGCCAGCGTTACATAATGCCTGCTAGGCCCCAGGCACTGTGCCAAGCACCATACAAAGTTTCAATGGATCCTCACAACTTCTCAGGTGCTTTCCAGCTCTAGACCTATGATTCTGTGATCCTTGAGGGTGTGGAAATCTAAATTTCTGCAACAAGTTGCAGCCTGACTCAGGGGATAGGAACTTCCAAGGAATGTGAGGCCCCCCTCTGTCCCAGATAATTCCTACTGCCAGGCATGAAGGGAAGATATGTACCAGGGATATACAGGGTCCTCCCTGTGATAATGGGGACATGGTAGGGCCCTAGAGCTGTGAAGGCAACAGAAAGGGATGCATTTTGGAGACTTGAGCTACTGAGTTTCTGCCTGAAGCCACCTGACCTATTTCCCAGATTCTGAAACACTTCAGGCACCACGCCAGCCTCCATCCCTACCCCAGGCTAGCTTCCTCCCTCTTTGTCTCTTTTCTGAGCAGGCACTCTGCCCACCTTTCCTCAAGCTCCATAGTACTCTAGGGCTACATGTGTTTGGAGGGATTTCCTTCCAACTCCCAGGAGGGAAAGACTGCCTGTGTGACCTTGGGCAAATCACCCCCTTGGGCCTCAGTTTCCACATCACCAAAAAGGAGTGTGGGCTAGACATTCACCGAGGCCCCTTTTAGTTCTACATCTATGATTTATTGTAAGGTATTCTGTTTGGAAAAAAGCCTTCCCTCTATTATTACATTCATAAAGGTTTTCTCCAGGATTAATTATCTGACACTTACTAAATTTTATTTGCTGGGAAAGGGATTTCCCACATTTATATTCATGTTCCTCTCTACTATGAATTACCTGATATGGCAAGAGAAAAGGCATTCCCATACTTATTACATTCATAAGACTTCCCTCCAGTATAAATCCCTACTGCTGAAGAAAGGCATGAACTACAGAAGACTTTGTCAAATCCTTTACATTAATAAGGTTTCTCTCCGTTATGAGTTCTCTGATGTCGGCTAAGTCCTGTGCTCCAGCGAAAGGCCTTCCCACATTCCCTACATTTATAAGGTTTCTCTCCAGTATGAATTATCTGATGTCGAATAAAGTGAGAACTCCTGCGGAAGGCCTTTCCACATTCATAACATTCGTATGGTTTCTCCCCTGTATGAGTTCTACGATGTCGAGTAAGGTGTGAGCTATAGCGAAAGGTCTTCCCACACTGATTGCATTCATAAGGTTTCTCTCCAGTGTGGATTTTATGATGCTGAGTAAGGTGTGTAATCTGGCGGAAGGCCTTCCCACATTCATCGCATTTATAAGGCTTCTCTCCAGTATGAATTTTATGATGTCGACTGAGTTCTGCCCTCTGACAAAAGGCCTTCCCGCATTCGTTACATTCATAAGGTTTTTCTCCAGTATGAGTTATCTGGTGTTCGGTTAATTCAGTATTCCGGAGGAAAGTCTTCCCACATTCATTACATTCGTAAGGCTTCTCTCCAGTATGAATTTTCTGATGTTGAGTAAGGCCTGAGTTTTGGCAGAAGGCCTTTCCACATTCACTACATTTATAAGGTTTTTCTCCAGTGTGAATTCTGTGATGTTGAATAAGGCCTGAACTCTGACGGAAGGCCTTCCCACATTCATTACATTTATAGGGTTTTTCTCCTGTATGAATTCTATGATGTTGAATAAGTCCTGTGCTTTGACGGAAAGTCTTGCCACACTCATTACATTCGTAAGTTTTCTCTCCAACATGTATTCCACGCTTTTTGATAAGTCCTAAATTATAACTGAAGGATTTTCCACATTTATTATACACAGACAATATCTTCTTTGAGCATACATTATTACATTCTCTTAGCTCTGAATACAGTCTGAAGCTCTCCTGCACGTCATACTCATGGAGACTTTTTTCAATCAATTCTCTCTGTTGTGGAAAAAGGATTGGCTCTAGATCGAACCTTCTCCTGTATTTATTATATTCGTTTCTTCTTCCTTGATTGGGATTTTTCCTTTGGACGAGTTTTACTTGTTTAGAATGCCTCTCCTCTTGACTCAGCTGTCTCTCTAATTCAGCACCATATTCCCAGGAACATCTCAATTTAGAGACACAGAGACCACCCCATGGGAGTGTCTTCTGGGATGGTTCTTTTATAGACATGGACAGCTTCGGAGATGACTCCTTGATGTCAGGCCTAGTGTCCCAATCTGAAAGAAAGAAAGAAAACATTTAAATACACCCTGTTTCAGAATGTGTTTTCTTCTCTCCTTTCTGTGTGTTTTTAGCAGCTATGTCTTCTCAGATTCCTCTACTTTTCATACCTGTCATTTCCTATGGCATGACAACATCCAATTACATTCAAATACCACATTTTTTTTCAGTTCTTTGTTTGAAGGGGAATGTGGACTATTTCCCTTCTTCATCCAACATGTAGGACGCAGCTAGGGTCATTTTCATGTGGACAAATCTTAACACACCATGCTTAGGGCATAGTCCTAGGAGTGGGATAATCAGGTTAAAGAATATGAGCAACTATTGGCTCCTCCTGTATAAGTCCACACTGCTTTCCCCAAAGACTGCACTTCCCAATACACAGCTCTACAGCAGGGCAATGGCATACTTGTCTTCCTACAGCATGACCAGCTTTTCAGGTGTTCATTTCTAACTCTCTGTGCCAGCTGGTTGGGTAGACAGTCCTATACCACTATAGAGACCTACACTGCGGCCTAACCATAGTCTGGATCTGTGTACTGAGGATGTTATAAAGGTACTTAAGGGTCCCTCCAGTTCTCAGACTCCTTACACTCAGATAAGAAAGGTCACTGTGAACAGGCCCCTGCTGGAAGAGAAGGAAAAGAATTGTTTAGGCTGGAAAAGAACACTTGGAGCAGTCTGGGGGACAGGGAGAATGGAAATGAAAGCTGCATCTGCAGTATTGGAAGGGATGTTGCCTGGAAGGAGGACTCGATGTGTTCTACCCGGCCCGGAAGGCAAGAACAAGAAACAGTGAGTGAGAGCAGAAAAGAGACAAACCCAGGCTTGGTCAAAGGAAACCCTTTCTAACAACCACGTCCAAACAGAAGTGGAGCTGAAATCTTTGGCAGGCAGCTGGCTCCTCTGTACTAGACACACTCAAGTAAAAGCTAGATGAACAATTCAACATCACACAAAGTGGTTTATCTGGTACTGGCAGGACAAGATGGCTGCTCAGATCCCTTCTCATCTGTAAATTCCATGGTGTTGGGGCTACCCAAGGGCACTTTTCATTCAGCACTGTTTAAACGGCCAGACTCAGAAAACACTCATTAAGGGCTTGATATGAACTCTAGCGAAGTATTTCAGGGACCTGCCCTTGGCCTCATGCTGTTTGACATGTCTATCAATCACTTGGAGGAGAGCGCAGACAGCCTTCTTGTCACTCCTCTCCCTGGGGCTCTTCTTACCGACGTGTCCCTCCATCTTAATCACTTTTGCTGGTTCCTCATCACCCATCTCTCCTGTCTGTATCCTCACCAGCCTAGTCCAGGCCCTCACTGCCTCCCACTGAACTGTTTCGATAGATTTTAAATCGGTCTTCATGCTTCTGGTCTTTGCCATCTGCAACCCATCCTTTCCACAGAGCTGCTAAATTGATACTTCTAACACTCAGATCCAACCATGTCATTCTGTTACTCAAAGCACTTCAGTGGCTCTACACTAAATACAAACTTCTCGGCCAGGCCTTTAAAGCCTGGGACCATGTGGCTCCCACGGACCTTTCTGGCCTCATTTCCAAGGCCTTTGTCCCATTCCCACCAGCTGTTGTCGGTTCCTCATAAATAACATTTCATTTCCCACCTGCGCACAGGCCGGGAATGCATTTCCTCCTCACCTCGACCGTGCAGAAGCCTTCCATGTTCCATGTTTTACAGCTCAGCTCAGGCACCATTTGCACACAAGGCCTTTCCTAATCTCCCTCTAAATTCATCTGATATAATTCATATTTGCTTACCTGTATTCGTGACCCTGGTAGAATGTCAGCTTCTTTAGGGCAGCTATTTTTTTTGGGGGGGGTCTCTTTGCCACCAGTGCCTTGCACAGGGCAGGGGTTTAACAAAAGCTTGCTGTGGGTTTGTTGTTGTGGGCGGCCCTCAACTCTCTTCCTATTTCTCCATACTCTGTATACTCTCTCCTTTGCTTGTTGACTTCATCCATTCCCAGGCAAATCAAAATCAACATGTCAACAACGTAACTCTATGTCTCCTCAAAAGTTCCCTCTTCCTGTCAAGCACACGACCATCCCTGTAGTCATGCAGGTTTGTGACCCTGGAGCCATCCTGACTCTGTCTCCCTCAAAGTCTCCACTCACAAAGTCACCATGTCTTTCCCATTCTACTTCCCCAACATTTCTCAAATCCACCCCCAACTCAAGCCAGCATCCTATTGCAGTCCTGCACCACTTCTGTCTGGACTACTGTGGCAGCCACCTAATAGGCTTCCTTGCCTCCAGGGTCTTCCCTGTCCGAAGCATCCTCCGCAGAGCAGCCCAAATCGAGCACGGGTCTGCCCATGTCTCTGCCCTGCTTAGAAGTCTTCCGGAGAGCCCCACTGACTCTAGGATAAAATACAAAGACCCTTATTGAGCATTTCAGACATGCGGCAATCTGGCAACCACTGCCATCCCCAGCTTTATCTCCTCACTCACTCACATCTTCTCGCCCTCAGAATCAAGGGAGACTAAGAACTATTCGCTGCTCATGTTCGACATTCTGCTTGACTCAATGCAAGCACCCACCAGGCACATGAGGTGCCAGGGACCCAGAGACGACACTGACATTCACACAAACACCCCATTCATTCACAGCAGCCTTAAGCCATGTTGGATGGCTTTCCAACTCTTGCTTTCCTTCAGAGCTCAGATAAGGAGTGACCTTGACTCCTTCAAGGCAGGGGCTGTGTCCTTTCTGTCTTGGGGGCACCAGAATCTAGCAGAGTCCTTGGGTTTGGACTGGCTGACTGACTACGTTTGGAGATGGAGGCTCTCCCTCTCTTTGAAATGCCTGGAGAGCAGGTATGCATACACACCTTACACACCCATCTCATATTACTTCTACCTACTCACCCTCTGAGTCACACTAGTCTAAGAATCCCTAGACTCACAAAAGGCAGAGAATGACATGGTTTTAAAGTTTTTCCGTCCCTAAGACAAATGTACACAGACATACGTGTGGTAGACACTCAAAAAATCTGTGTCATATTGAACAGAGGGGCTAGAAGGGTCTTTAAAGCGACAATGAGATCCAAAAATAGATTGTGTCAGGCTAGAGACTGGACTAAGTCTAATAAGAGGAAATTCAATAGAGATGAATGTAATATCTTACATTATGATTGGATTCAAAACAAATCAGCTTCATAAGTAAGAGACAAGGAAGAATTAACCAGAAACTGCATCCCCAAAGAGGAAGAAGACCGTCCTCTCTGCACAGCTCAGTCCACTGGGTTCCATTCTTGGGGCCAAATTTTTGGAAGGCCAATAACAATAATGAGAACAATAAAAAGGAAGACTTACGGGCACACCCATAGCCTTTCATGATTGGAAGGGTCATCCTGCCTGGCTTGCTTGACTTGGCCCAGGGGGCAGAGCTATGGATAGCTAGTGGATGCTGAAGATCTGCCCAAGAGCTAGCAGACCAGGGAAGGATGGGCCAGGCCGGGCAGGGGTGGGCTGCCTGAGGAGGGGACTACCTAGCCTGGGTATTCCTCTGGACTCGGACCAAGCTGGGGTGTCAGATTTTCTCAAAAATGCTCATTAAAAAACCATTTCCCCCCCCCCATTTCCTTCCCTCAGTTCTCCTCTTGAGTCACAGTAGAATATTGCATCTTTATTTTGCTGTCGTTGTGATGTTCGTATATGGGTAAATGAAAGGGATTAAGGAAGGATGAGATATTTCCTTACATGTGGTATAGACTAGAAAAGTCATTTGGAATGCATAAAGAGTAAATAGAGAGACAGACAGACAGACAGACAGTTCTGGAAATGTATACATACAGTACAATAGCCAGAAAAAGAAATGCAGGATGTGAGCACATGCAAAGAAGTTTAAAAGACATCTATTCATAAGGGCCGCTAGACGGCAGAGTGGATAGTGTGCCAAGCCTGAAGGAGAGAAGACTCATCTCCCTAAGTCCAAATCTGACCTCACTTGGGTAACTCTGGGCATATCACTTCACCCTGCTTGTCTCAGTTTCCTCATCTGTAAAATGAGCCGGAGAAGGAAATGGCAAACCACTCCAGTATCTCTGCCAAGAAAACCCCAAACGGGGTCATGGAGAGCTGGATGTGACTGAAACAAATTAACAACAACTGATTCATTATGATATATTCAGATGAAATTATGATATATTTAGAAAACCAAAGAAATTCAAGGAAAAAACTCATCAAGATAACAGTGATACTAAGGGAGGAGAACATATAAGAAGTCCTATTAAAATCACTTGCACATCTAGATACAACTGGCAAAAACCAGACATGATGGAAAGAGAAATATAATTTATAACAAGGACAAAATTTACCAAGTACATAGATATTAAGCTACTTTGAGATACAGAAGAATCACAGACAAAGACACTGAATAAAAACTAAACACAAACACAGACATTATTAGACAAATGAGGAAAAAATGGCAAAGTAACAAGAAGTTTTCCCTGCCACCTCAACTCCTCCAAACAGATGCTACATGGGACATTCCATCCCAGGGAGAGGCTATGCTCCAAGGCAAGAAGAGGACCCAGACCCAGCCAGAGGCCTAAACTTGGGTAGGGTTTAGCAACAGGTGTCCACTGGCAGCTCTGTCAGTCACTCCCCACTTCCAGGTCCCAGATCGAGGGTGTGTGCCAAGGAGCAGCACTGTCAGCCTGCTGCGTCCCAGGCAGGGAGCAAGCACAGAGGCCAGCAGCAGCTGAGGAGTTCTAACCCAGGCCCCACATTGCTGCCTGTAAACACACACAAAACAGAACAACTCCAAAACACCTACAAGCAAAGCCTCAAAGAAAAACATGGCTTGACCACAAATTCAACCAGAATTTTTGGAAAAGATGAAGCAAGATTTGGGGGGGGGGGAAATGAGTTAAACTATTTTTATAAATGAGAGCTATGGAAGAAAGAATTAGAAAGAGAATGAACAGCTTAGCACAAAAGATACAAAAACTCTGCCCAAGTAACAAACTCCCTGAAAATTAGAATGGACCAAATAGAAGCCAATGGTTCCATCAGACATCAAGAACTATTAAAACAAAATCAAAAGACTGAAAAAGAGAAGAAAATGTAATAACAAAAACAAATGACATTTTACAAAAAAAAAAAAGAAGAAAGATAATTTAAGAATCATTGTGCTACCTGAAAGCTACAGCGTACAATGAGCATAAACATCATATTTCAAAAAAAATCACAATAGATCTCTTGGAACCAGGAAGCAAAGTGGAAAAAGAAACAATCCACCCACCTAAAAGAGACCCCAAAATGAAAATTTCCAGAAATATTATATCCAAAATCCAGAGGAGGGAGTAAGATGGAGGGCAAATTAAGGAAGGGAATGATTAACTCAAAGTAAAACAAACTCTAAGGATGTACAAAAATATTTAGAACCATTCTTTCGAAAACTGAAGGAATATTTCTCAGTCGGGGAATGGCTGAACAAGTGGTGGCATACAACTGTGATGGAATACTTATTGTGCTGTAAGAAAGGAGGAAGGAGATGGGTTTCGGGAAGACCTGCATGAACTGATGCAAAGTGAAATGAGTAAAACTAGAAAAACAATGAATACAACAATATCGTAAAGGCAAACAGTTTTGAAAGACCTCAGAACTCTGATCAGTGTAATGACCAATAATTCCAGAGGACTCATGAAAAAAGATGCTGCCCATCTCCAGACAGAGACATACAGGGCTCTGAGTGCACAATGAGAAACTGGGGGTAAGTGGGGAGAGAATAGCCAATCTAGAAATTTATATTGTTAGTCTAATAGGGGTTTTATTTTTCTTTCTTCTTAATTGGGAAGACTTGGGGAAGGAAAGAAGGTGGATTTTTACTGATTCAAAAATACTAATTTTAAATAAAGAAATAAGCAAATAGTGAAAGATCTGCCACCTATAACTAGGTAAAACTAATGTAGTAATGATGGCAATACCAATCAAATTATTCATACAACCATCATACCACAAATTCTAAATATTAACAGGCTCCTTAACATGGAATTAAGTAAAATGGTAAGAAAATTTCTGTGGAGAAATAAATAAAAAAGAACATGAAGAGAAATTATGGACAAGTGGAAAAAGGAGAGAAAGAGGGGCTCACCCCAACAAATAAAAGAAATTATTGAAGACAAAATAGATGAATTTAATTATAAAAAAAATTTTGCATCCAAAAAAGTCAGTGTCTTTATGCTAAAAAAGAACGAACTAGGTTGGGGAACAAATCTTTGCCATAAATATTTCTGCTAAATATTTGACATTTAAAAACCAAAGGCAATGACACAAATTATAAGCGTAACAGATCCATTTCACAAAAAATAAAAGGTAATATCAATTTACACAACGTCTTGGGGTGAGGGGAGAGATGGGGAGAAAATATGGAACTCAAAATCTTATGAAAGTGAATGTTGAAAACTAAAAATAAATAAATCAATTTATAAAAATAAAAATGAAAAGTGAAAGTATACAGAGTCAGTTCTTCCACACAAAAAAAGGTACACAGACTGTCCATAACCACAAGAAACACTGTTCAAGGGCAGCTAGGTGGCACAGTGGATAGAGCACCGGCCCTGAAGTCAGGAGGACCTGAGTTCAAATCCGGCCTCAGACCAAACACTTGACACTTACTAGCTGTGTGACCCTGGGCAAGTCGCTTAGCCCCAAATTGCCTAAAAATTAAAAAAAGAAAATGAAAGAAGAAACACTTTTTAAAATCTCTGGCAATGAAATACAAAAGAAAACAACTCTCAGCCACAAATGAATGAAGTTGTTTCTAAAATGTTGAGATTAATTGGCAGCCAAGCTACAAAGTTATGGAGGCCCACATGATTCCATAGCCGGTAAGCTGAGAACTGGGGCGTATGGCAATAAGTACCACGGACTCTCACAGTGCACAGAGGGTAGGGTCTGCAGTCCAGGAAGACCCAAGTTCAAATCAGATTCAGACACTGAGTAGCTACATGACCCTGAGCAGGTCATTTAACTTCTGCCTGCCTCAGTTTTCTCAACTATAAAATGGAGATACTAGCACTACACCCTAGCATTGCTGAGAGGCTCAAATTAAATAATATTTGTAAAGCACTTAGCACAGTGCCTGGCACTTTAGAAATGTTAGCTATTATTGTTCATCACCATCATCATCACCGTCATCATCACCATCATCACCATCATCATCACCATCATCATCACCATCATCATCACCATCATCATCACCGTCATCATTACTATCATCACCATCACCATCATCATCACCACCATCATCATCATCTTCATCACTACCATCATCACCATCATCACCATCATCATCACCACCATCACTATCATCACCGTCATCATCACCATCACCACCATCATCACCATCACCACAATCATCACCATCATCACCACCATCATCATCATCTTCATCACCACCATCATCACCACCATCACCACCATCATCACCACCATCATCATCATCTTCATCACTACCATCATCACCATCATCACCACCATCACCATCATCATCACCACCATCACCACCATCACCATCATCACCACCATCATCATCATCTTCATCATCGTCATCATCATCATCACCACCACCATTATCACCACCATCAGTATCATGACCGCCTTCACCATCATCACCATCCTTATCCTTGGGCTGTGCCCTCAGGGTGTGACTGAAAGGAAATAAAGACTTCCTTTGACTAAAACAGTCCCAGAAGCTTCATCTACGACAACTGAAGACCACGAAGCAAACAGGGCCAAAGCTAAGTCAATGCCCAACAAAAGCCCTAAAAGAATGCACCCCGCACCCCTCGTCACCGATTCAGAGACACGGGGAGTCTTATTTAAACAATGTAGGAAGAAATACCTCCATATGCATGGTTGGGAGGCAAAGTTTGGGTTTTTTTAAATGATAAGGGCAGTATAATCTTTATAAAGACACAAAGAAACAGAACAGAAGGGGGTATGGAAGCAAACAGGCCTCTTGTTATTTTGTTCACATTACCACCTACATTTTGGAAAGGAACAACAAATCATCCCCAGGGAGGTAAGGCGACTCAGGCAGTAGGTTCTGTGTTCTGGCCAAAGGGCATTCCCCAATCCTCGGGCCCCTATAAGGCTCCTCTGTCCAATAGGAAAGGCTCAGGAGTTGGCCTCACTCCCCGTCATGGCACGCCTACCCTTTCTCTCTGACAGCTTAAGGTCCCCATGTCAGTAAAGGGGAGCTCTCCAGATTCGCAACATTCACAAGAGTGCCTTGGAGACACCTCCCAGGTGAAACTTCTCAAGTGCTAAACTACCTGAATACCCCGTTATTCCCAGTGAAGGGGCCCCCAGACTCGCCTGCACAGCTGCTTCCCGGGACTCCGACCTCTGGCCACCACGGTGCTCCACCTCGCTCCAGCTGACAGATTACATCTGGTTTGGAAACGGCAAGGCCTGCTCATAGGAAACGGCGAAGTGGTGGCCACCAAAGGTTACTTCCAGATCCCATCCTTCCCCCACCCCCCAGGAGCCACAGGCAGCAGAGGAAGACCAGAAGGCAGGAGAAAAGACTATTTGAGAACATTCTAGGGGTAGCTGGGGGTGCAGTGGATAGGGCACCGGCCCTGAAGTCAGGAGGACCTGAGTTCAAATCCAGCCTCAGACCAAACACTTAACACGCTAGCTGTGCGACTCTGGGCGAGTCACTTAACTCCAATTGCCTAAAAATAAAAAATAAAAAAATTCAAAAAAATAAAAAGAATGTTCTGATTTGTGTTTTCTTAGAAAATAGTGGGGAATGCATCACAGAGTGCCATGGGGCCAAGTTGTTCACACTCCCCACAGACAGAATGGGGACCTGAAAAGTCCCCAAGCATCTGTACTAGAACTTGCGGGGAGACTCTGCCTTGAGCAAACAGAGAGTGGGGAAAGCCCAAATTCAGGAACAAAACAGTAAGCTCATGGTTTTCAGTTCTAAAAATCAAACACCTTTCATTTGGAACCATGGAGCATAAAGGCCCCAGCTCCTGGCCACAAAACGATTAGCCCCTTCTGGTCTCTGCAGGCCCAACTAAAACTGCTAAACAGCAACACCCCTCCACGGCATTCACCGAGGGAGAAAGCAAAGAATCCTCCCGGGCAGAGCCAGGGTCCCAGAGGAGCCTCCTTACCCAGGCAGACCAGGTTCCTGTAGTTCTCCAGCATCACCTCCCGGTACAGCTCCTTCTGGGATGGGCCCAGCTGCCCCCACTCCTCCCAGGTGAAGTCCACAGCCACATCCTTGAAGGTCACTGACTCCCAAAACACCAACGATGCTCGTGCCTGCCCAGCGGTCATCCTTCACGTGGATCTGAGAGGGAGAAAGCGAAGGTGGCAGGACAGTCAGGGGGACTGTTCACAGCACCTGCACTTCAGGGTTCAAAGTCACACATTTACTAAGCACCCACAAGGGCCTCAGTTGGCGTGAGATTCTGAATCATGTCAAAGAGTACAAATGGGTCATAGCTACAGAGGACTTTTTAATTTACAAAGTACTTTGGTAACAACCTTGCGAGGCTGGAGCTACAAGGATTCGTTCTCCCCACTGTACAGATGAGAAAACTGGGTTTAAGAAAGGCTAATGGGAACATTCATGGCCACCAAGCTGGTCAGTCTCCTAAATGTGAGTCCAATTCTTCAAATTCTTCACCACACTCCAGGGCTCAGTCACCCTTGCTAGTTGTCTCCCCAAAGGAGCCATGGGAATCCTACAAGTCATCCATGTGAAATGCTGAACCGAGATATCGTATTGAGAAGGACAACGTTGACGCTAGAGGGAGCAGTACTCTCTCTCCATTAAGAATCAGGAATCATCTTTATCGGAAAGTAAACATGTACCCTTGAAATTTCTTCCTAACTGCACAACTTCAGATTAATTGGAACATGGTTAGCATGACCCATCCAAGTTCCTTTGACCGAAAAAATTAAATCTAACAAACATATTCTAGTCAAACACCAGGAATTAATAAAGCACAGAGTCATGGAATTTCTTTTTTAAGGCAATTGGGGTTAAGTGACTTGCCCAGGGTCACACAGCTAGTAAGTGTCAAGTGTTTGGTCTGAGGCCAGATTTGAACTCAGGTCCTCCTGGCTTCAGGACTGGTGCTCTATCCACTGCCCCACCTAGCTGTTCCTGAGTCATGCAATTTCAGAGGTGAACATGACCTCCGCAAGGAAGAACAAGAATTCACACCAGCACCAGCCTGTGCTCGAAGGTGTCTGGTGAGGGAGCTCAGGCCTGCCCGAGGGTTCCATTAACCACCAGGAGAGTTCCCAGTTCCAGTAAGTCCTTCCAGACAAGCCCCATCCCCAGTCACTCTGAACCAGTCAACAAACCCTCAGTAATTGATTCCTCTGTGCCGGGCCCTGCGCCGAGGGCCAGGCACACACAAAGAAAGGGAAAACCAGTCAACGGCCTCGAGGAGGTGGCATGAGAAGGCAGCACTGAGGGGCTGCGGAGCCAACGAGGATGTCCATAAGGAGGTGCATCAGCAGCCGATGAAAGGGAGTCTTGGAGGCGAAGGCTCCGCGTCTGGGAGAACCAAGACTGACTGCATCCAGAGAATAACGAAACCCAAGGGGACTAATGAGATGTCCGGGTGAAGGAGCAGAGAGAAAGGTGAAGAGGCCCAGGCCGACACCTGCCAGTACTGGGCCGGACACGGAAGAAGGACAGAGAAGGAGACCGGCAGGCACGAGGACCGCCCAGAGCAAAACGTGTCACCAAGCCCCCAGGGGAGGCAGCATCGAGTGAGGAGGCCGACAGCAGCGTCCAGTGAGAAGGGCAAGGAAGAGGAGCCCCGGGAAAAGGCCCTTGGATCGGTCAGTTGGGAGGCCGGTGGAGACTCCGGGGAAGGCAGAGTCAGCTGAACGGGGTGAAGCCGGATTGCAGAAGGCGAGGGGGGGGGCGCACAGAGACAGAAAGGAAGGAGGGAGAGAGACAGAGAGGGACGGAGGGAGAGAGACAGAGAGAGGGACGGAGGGAGAGAGAAAGGGAGACAGAGAGACACAGAGAGGAGAGAAAAGAGAGTGAGAACAGACAGAGAAGGGAGGCACTGAGGGCTTTTCGGGGCTTAGCCGACAAAGGGGGGCGATGGGCCCACCGTCACCCCAGATGACTGAGCCCAGCGGGCTGTGATCCGGCCTGGGAGGACTCTGCAGAGGGGCGAGTCGGGGCTGCTCTTCCCCTCCATTTCCCAGCCCCCACCTTCTGCCCTCCTCCCTCCCCGTGCCTACCTCCCCTCCGCTCACGACCCCCGCCCCAGGCTGGGCCAGCCCTCAACCCCTCATCCAACCAGACGGCTGTAAAGCGCTTAGCACCACGCGGGGCACACAGGAGGCGTTTAATAAATGTTTCCTCCCTCCCGTCTCACCCGGACTACCCCTTTTACGTGGTCAGAGGAAGGACAGAGGGAACGCCCCCCCCAGCAGTCCTGGCGGCCCTCCTGGACAGTCATGGCCGGACACCGGACAAGGGGAGGCCCCGCGGACTGACCCCAGCAGCTCAGCGGAAGGCGAGGGACCCCTCTCCTGGGGGGTCCGAGCGCAAAGACAAGGCTAGACTTCCCGCTCACGCTCTACATCAATCAGTCAATCGACAAACAATGACGAAAGGCCCGCTGTGGGCCGGACACTGATGGGGCCAAAGGGGAACTGACCCCTCCCTCAAGGACCTTCCATGGGCGGGGTGGGGGGGGTGGGGAACATGAGCGATCGGAGGGCCAAAGCATGGATTAAGCACCTGCTGTGCACACACCGGGGCCCCACACACAACGAGCACAACAGACGGAAGGTCCGGGGAAGATGTCGGGGGTCATGCGGTGGGATGGGCAGCCGGCTGGCGCGCTGGGGAAGACCCGAGTTCAAATCCTGCTGCAGCCCCTCTGCGACTGCGGGGCCCTGGGCCAGTCACTCAGTTTCCTTCACTGTAAAATGGGGGTGCTGACACGACCGAAGCGTTGGGCACAGAGCCTGGCACACGGCAGGCGCCCCCTCGGCGCTCGGAGAGTCGGGGGAGGAGGGGGTGGACGTGGCGGAGAGCTCCCGGGGGGCCAGGAGCCCCAGGCGGGGCCGCGAGCCCCCCGCGGCGCCCTCTCCACTCACCCCAGCAGGGCTGCTTCTCCCGCCGGCGTCCAGCTCAAGCGGCTCACTGAGGGGGCGGGGGGACAGATGCGTCTCTGATTGGCCGAAGCCGCTCCCAGACTGTCCAATGGGCACAGCCGCTCGCGGAAGAGGCGGAGCCCGACGCCACACCGCCAAGGCCCACCCACGGGTGGCCGAGACCCAGGGCGAGGAGCGCCGCCGCCTCCTCCGCCCTCGGGCTCGGCCTCGGGACGGTGGACTGCCGGACTCGGCCCCGGGACGGCCGACGCGCAGTGGAGCCAAGGAGGCCGAGAGCTGGGCAGATACCGGAAGGGGCTGACAACTGCCAGGCCGCGGGGCGGAAGTGACGTCTGCGCCTTCCTGCCCTCCTCTGCGTCTATGGCAACGAGAGCGGGGGGCGGGGCGGGGAATCGGGAGTCCGAGGAGCTCTCTGGTGCCCCCTTGGGGCTGGGCGGCCGTGCTGCGCCCTGGCAGGCCTCCAGACTCCAGCCATCCATGCAGCCATCGAACGAGCCCTCTCCGTGTGCCAGGCGCTGTGCTAGACAAGGCGAAGGTCAAACAGCCCCTGCCCTCAGGCAGCTTGGATGAGACGCCTCTGTCAGGGGAATGGAAAGCCCCAAGCGGGGAGGGGCCTCCACTGACCCACACTGGCTGAAGGACCCTGGGCCAGTCCCCTGACCTGGACTGGTCAGAGGGGCACCGTTCCCTCTTGGAGAGCGGGCCTGGAAAACTGATGTTCAATGAAGGCCCGTTCTCACCAGCGCTGTGATCCTTGTGCTGACCTGGGGGGACAAAGAAAGGCAACAGTGTGGCTGCTGCCCTCCGGGAGCTTCCGTTCTAACGGAGGAGCTAACATGTCAATAACTGTACAAACAAGACACACACATGGTCAATGGGAATAACCCAGAGAGGAGGCTGGGGAGACCAGGAAAGAGTGGGGGGAGCCAGGAAGGCTTGGAGGTGGCGGTGAGCAGAAGTACCGTGCCTTCCACCCAAAAGGCACGGACACCAGAAATGTTATGGAGGGCTTACATGGGGGGGGGGGGGAGGGCTGAATGAGGGGACAGAAGGTAGGGAAACTTGTGAAGAAGGAGGATTCGGAGGGAAGGGTAACGGGTTTGTCCTGGCCAGTGTATTACGTGTAAGATGGCATCCAATTTGATCTGCTCTGTTGGCCTTCGGTCATGTGGAACTATAGCTCAGGAGAGAAGAATGTGGCCGGAGATATAAATATGAAGCTCATCTGCAGAGCTGATAACTGAATCCATGAGACCAAATGAGATCTCCAAAGAAAATAGCATAAAAGGAGAAAAAAGAGCCAAGGACAGACCCTTGGGGGACACAGATGTTTAGTGGCTGTGACGCAGATGAGAATCCAGCAAAGGAGACTAAGAAAGATCAGTCATGTGGGTAGAAGGAGAACCAAGAAAAGGCAGCACCATGAAAACCTGGAGAAGAAAGGACCTCCCGGAGGAGGAGGTGACCAACAATGTATAATGTTACACAGAGATCAAGAAGAATCAGGGCTGAGAAAAGGCCATTAGATTTGGAAACTGAGAAATAATTTGAAGGCAGCAGTAACAGCTGAGTGACTAATCAATCAATAAACCTTTATGAAGTGCCTACTATGGCTAAGTGCTGGGAATACAAAAAGAGGCGAAAGACAGTAACGAGAATGGAAACCAAACTGCAAAAGGAAAGGAAGAGGCAGAAGAGAGGGGGGAGTGCAGATGGCTTTCTCAGATTTAGTTCAAAAGGGGAAGATACAGGGGAAGATAGCACGGATCAAGAAAGGACTTTTTGGTTGTTGCTGGGTTTTTTTTAAGTAGGTGATTTCATATGTGTATGTATGTATGTATGTATGTATGTATGTATGTATGTATGTATGCATTCTTTTCCCCCAATTACAAGTTAAACCAATCTATTTTTTAACATTTTATTTAAAGTTTTGAGTTCCAAATTCTATCCTCTCTCCCTGAGACAGCAAGCAATCACATTTAGATTATTCATGTGCAATTATGTAAAACATTTCCATATTGGTAATTTTGCACAAGAAGATTTGAATAAAAGAAAAAATTGAAAGAAAACAAAAAATAGCATGCTTCAGTCTGTGTTCAAACGATATCAGTTCTTTCTCTGGAGGTGGATAGTAAGCTTCATCATTAGTCCTTTGGGTTTGTTTTAGATCATTGCTTTGCTGAGAATAGCTAAGCTGTTTACAATTCTTTATCGCACAATACTGCTGTTACTGTGTACAATGTTCTCCTGGTTCTGTTTACTTCACTATGTATCAGTTCGTGAAAGCTTTTCCACATTTTTCTGAAATCATCCTGCCTGTCATTTCTTATAGCACAGTAATATTCTATTACATTCATATACCACAGCTTGCTCAGCCATTCCCCAATTGATGGGCATCCCTCCAATTTCCAGTTCTTGGCCACCACAGACAGAGCTGCTGGAAATATTTTTGTACAAGTAGGTCCTTTCCCCCTTTTTCATGTCTTTGGGATACAGACCTAGCAGTGGTGTTTCTGGGTCGGAGGGTATGTACACTTTCATAGCCCTTTGGGCATAGCTCCAAATTGTTCTCCAGAATGGCTGGATCAGTTCACAACTCCACCAACAGTGCGTTAGCGTCCCAGTTTTCCCACATCCCTTCCGACATCCATCATTTCTCTTTTTTGTTATATTAGCCAATCTGATAGGTGTGAGGTAGCACCTCAGACTTGTTTTAATTTGCATTTCCAAGAGGGGGCTTTGGCAAGATGTGCAAGATATGGGTGTGTTCATAAGCAATAAACAAGGATCCAGAAAATAAGGAGAGACTGAAGACTGATGAATCGGGACAACAATAACCAGCATCTA